ACATTTAACAACACATCATTAACTTTTTTACTATACCATGAAATAGAAATTGTCAGGATGTCAAGTTGGGAGGACACTTTTTATTTTAACACTAAAGATAAGGTTAAGACACTCTAGTCGGGATGCATAAAAGCTTCCTCACCAGCCATGACAATCTTATCTCACTAAATATTCACTATCTAGCTCTGTTCTGGCACAATGCAGGCAGGCTCTCAATTAGTGTTAAATGAACAAATAAATAAAATTTGAGAAACACAAAAACAACCAAAAAAAAAAAAAACGAGCTAAATGGAAAAAAAAAAGGCAACAGATTTCAAACATCCAATCATTTTCATTTTAGCACAGCAAATTCCCTCAAGCTCATCCTTAAATGCAGGCCAGTCCCACAAAACACGTGGGAATTTTATGACAGTCTTTAACTACAATACCAGGCGTTCTTTAGAGACTCTGTACTGCAATGTTTAGATCTTAATGTGTATATGTTTCTGCTGAACTTAATTTTTAAATATAAACTTAATTAACTGTACCCAATAAAACAAAAGGTTCTATTTTAATGTTACTAAGCAATTCTGGGTATCACAGAATCTTGGGAGTATTTTTTAAAATTTATTTATTTATGCATACAAGAACTGGGGTGTAGGCCAGAGGTACAGAGGGATGAGAGGATTCACCAGAGACAGAGTGGGGGGCAGAACAGGCAGATAGACTGAAATACACTGTTGAGAGGAGCAGTGGGTAGGGGAGGCAGAAGAGGTCTGCACTATGTGGGTTAGCTCCTTGGCCAAACAGGGGGTGAACTTGTGCTGCAGTGGCAGGCAACAGCTTGATTAGCATGCTCTTTAATTCCAGTGCCACCAGGGAGGCACAATCCTGGGAGTCTTTTGGGGTCATCTCATCCAATATAGTTTGCTCTACAACATCCCTAGTCTATTACCATGTCTTGACTACATACTGCAAAAGCCTCCAGAGATCTACCTCCACAGTTGGAACTTTGCAACTCATCCCCACCAGCAGATAGCAGAAACTTTTCAACAGTAAGATGTGGCACACTGCTTGAACTCTTGTGAAGGAGTCTACTGACTTTTCTTAGTCCTTTTATCAAGGCATAACCTGGCTTTTACTAACATCCAAGACTTGCATTCATGTCACAGCTCATTTTCTTGACGACACAGGCTTTATACTCTTTTCCAGTCAATGGAAAAGCACTACCTACAGTGCTCTCCCAATTCAACCCTCCACATTCCAGGCGCCCAAGAATAAGCTGTCCATCTCCTTGTCAGCCTAACAGAAACAAAATGCAAACCCCTCCTCAGAGAGGCCTTTCTTCAACATCTCTCCCCATTCAATTTTGTATATTTGTTTTCTTCAAGGTACATGTACAGATGTCCTATTTATTTGCTTGCTTTCTGATCCATCTTCCCCCCAGAGCATCAAAAAGTTCTATAAGCACGGGGCACATGGCTATAGTCTTATTCTTTAGGATCCTAAGCAAATAAGAAGGTACAACATAGTCATCAACTAAATTGAAGGATAGTCACCCAAACTCTGGAGACTGCAGCCTTGAATTACCTAAAAAAGTTACTAACTTCAATGTGCTCTTTCCAAAATTAAATCTGTCTTCGAGGTTTTAAGTCTTCTGTCACAACCAGCCAAATCAGAGTTGAAACCTCAACTCTAACCTGAATTGGGTGTAATCAGTTTTTGGTTTATCTCTCAGATTATCTTTTGAGGGGGCTTTCTCTCCTCGAGAAAACAATGCTTTTCCACATATCCATAAGACACTTGAAGAGTTTCATCCTCTCCACCCAACTCCATCACAAACTCCTGTCTTGGAAACTCGGACCTAGACCAGGAGCCAACAACGCAACTTTCTGCAATGCAGTTTCTGGGGTTCTCAAAACTTACATTTGAGGGAAGATTACGGAGCAAATTGTAGGAAAAAAAAATCTTACTTCAATTACATGCCAGATGTTTTCATTAACTCATCTAGGAGAGTACGCCTAGTCTCAATAATTTTATTTTTAATCTAAAAGAAACAGGTCATCGTCTACAAAGCCCCCAAAGATAAGCGGTTTGGCCAAGGTCACCCACTCGTTGAGGCCAAGTTAGACCAAAAAAAAAAGTTCTCCAAATACGGTGCTCTTTCACATAAATCTCGCCGGTTTCCCACACTGCGAGCCCAAAGTGCAATACTCTCAGAAATAGGAGGGGACGCTGGCGGAGGGAAGGCCGGGGAAGAGGCGCAGTCTGGAGCCCGGCAGGGCCGCTCGATCTCCACGCCCCGCCGGGAAGCCCCGCAGCCTGGGGGAAGGGGAGGCAGCCAGCCTCGCTGCACTCACCTGTCCGGGGCCCAGAGGCGGGTGGTGCGGTCTCGGGACACAGACACAAAGGCCCCCGGTGGATAGAGGCAGCACACCAGGCCCCGCACGTCCAGCTCGTGGCCCGGGAGCGAACAGCTCAGCCGGTACCTGGAGGCGCCGCTCGCCATGGCCCTTATCTCTGTGGCGCCCCCGGCCAAGGCACCGCGCGAGATCCTTACGCACGAGAGACCCGCCTAGCGCTGGGCGGCGGCGGGAAAGGGGCCTGCAGGTGAGGGGCGGTGGGAGACCGGAAGAGCCCGTGAGCCGGTGCGGAAGGGCGGCAGGGAAGGGGCGCGCCGAGCGGGCCGAGTGACACAGCAACCCTGACATGCACACCGGAATTCATCATCGGCCTCGGCCCGCCATGACGCAGAGCGTGTGCGTCCAGACCGCCGGCCCGGCGTGGAGCCCCGGCTCGCTTCGCGCCTGAACGCTGGGCCGCCGGTCGCCGAGTATATAACGACGCTCGCCGCTCCTGCCCTGGTAGTCCAGTCCGGGTTCTTTCCGAGTCCGAGTCATTCCGGGCCCTATTCGCTGTAACAAGGGATGCCAGTCGGGACTACAAATCCCATAATGCCCCGTGCTTCTGGGGCGTGGGCGGCGGAGGCGCCGAAACCGGATATTTTAAATCCTGTGCTGTGTGGCGGCGTTTCTCCGCTACTGCGAGGTTGCTTCAGAGTGAGTTTTAGCGCATGATTACCCTTATTTCCATTCCTTTTATGAGCAGTTTCTTGAACTTTTTACAAGCTTAAGAACGCTTGGGGCAAATTGGGACAATTGTGTCATTCTGTAAACGGTAAACGGAGTTCTAGGTACTTAACATGTTTTTTAGTCAGAAGCAATTCAGAGATTTAAAACAAGTAGTTTGTACCAACTGTCTTATCTGCATGTAAACTCTGGACTCCTGTATGTCTGAAGGCAATGAGAAAGAAGTCCACGCCAGTAGCTTCTCAGTCAATATTGCAAGAGTATAAAGAAAAAACTTTCTGTCCAGCCTCTAGGTTCTCTCCTGGGCTCTTAGCAGAAACACAGATTCGAAAGAGAAAAATAGTGACGTGTCTCGCACATATCCGAGGGAGAAATTCAGGGACAAATAACTCCAAATGTGGCTAGGGTTTGGGTTTATATAACATCTTAACAAAAGCACACTAGACAAGTGACAAAGCAAACTAAAAGGACCCTAAGACTCTAGAAGCAGTAAATTAGTGGGAAAATGGTAAGTACGTGAAAATGAATGATAAATAAAAGCTAATGAGTAAAGTTTTGTTTTGCTTTGTTTTTAATGTAGCCTTGAGGAAATTGTGCTTTCAGGCTATTAAGGGTCTCAGGTTATCTCTGTTATTTATTTGCATAGAAGAACTGAGTTGTGGGCCAGAGGCACAGTGGGTGAGAGGATTCAGGAGAGACAGTGGGGAACAGAACAAACAGGTGTATCTGCTGAAATACACCGTTAAGGGGAGCAGAGGGCAATAGAGGAGAGGTCTGTGCCATGTGGGTCAGCTCCCTGGCTGCTGATGGAACTCAGGCCCTAGAAGTAATAATTGAGACTTAACCCCTATGCCATGAGGCAGTTTCTCAACTTGTCTTGATTAAGTTTTAATCTTGCTAGGCAGGGAGAACAGTCTGGAAAAATTTTACCCTGCTTTTCTTGTGTTTCTCAATTTTCTCAGTGCACAATAACCTTTATACCAAACAAGGTAGCATATTTAGGGCTGGCAACTCCTCTAAAAGGTGACCCAAAGGGTAACAAGTGATCACTCCAAATGTGTTGGGCACAAATAGAATAACTACATGAAAATGTTTGCACAGACTTAGAGAACACAGCCACAAGGACACATACACTTTATATTGCATCGACTTGAAACTTCTTGAAGAAAGTCATAAAAGAGAATAAAACTATCATGTGTGTAAGTTGGAAATAATGTGAAAAATGTTAAACTTCAGTAGTTATGAATATTATAGCAACATGACATACCTATTGCAAAAACTGGCTGCAAGTTACTTTATTAGAGGTGGAATTTGAAATAAAGTATTTCTTACACTTTATTTCTTAACATGATAAAATAACTCCTTTCAAACTACTTTTCATTTAATTAACTTTCAAGGACATGGATAAAACTTTTTACTTTAAAGAAGCTTAAAGATATTAAGTTGTCACTCAAAACACAGACCTGAACAGATGGTACCAGAATCGCATCCATATTTTAATACATTGGGTACACTGTGTACTCCTAACAGGAATTAAAGCTACCGCTAATTAGAACTAAAAAAATTACAATGCTGCCTACCATGAAATAACTTCAAGTAAGTCTTTAAAAATCTAACATATTGGTAAGAGGCAGCAATGAGATTAAAAAGCGAGTTCCTAAACTTGGTAAAGTGACCTCAGGTCTCACACAACCAGAGGGGTTGCTCGGGTTATTAAAATAAAAACTTTGAAATAAAATGGCTGTTACCTAATCAATTTGCTGTCTGCCACTTATTTCGGGAAAACTGAACAGAAAAATCAAGGCTGTCATCAAATCTCGCGAGAACATTCTATTCTCCCTACACTGTTAGATTCCCGAGAACAAGGATTGGCCAATCAGGACGCGAGCCTCCCCTCCCCTGTTGCCGGGATACGAGACCGCGCGACTGCCAGCGAGGCCTCTGCACTTAAAGTTGCTCCCCAAAAGCGGGGATCCGTAGCGGACAATCCATACGCAAGCCAGTTGCGGGTCTTCCGCTGAGGTGGCCACCCGGAAAAAGATTTTGGACGCGCCTGAGTGGTTCCACCACCCTCCTTCCGCGCGGGTTGCGGAGGTGAGAGATCTTAAGTCCTATTTCTCCTTCCCTACCTCTTGTGCGGGTTTCTTTGCCTTGGAGATGCTCATCCTCCCAAACAAAACAAACCCGAACTCTGACTTTTAGCAGTGCTTTTCCAGCTCTTGGCCAGGTCAGGGACATTCCCAGCTCCTGTCTAGCGATGCCTGTTTAAAAACTTCATCAGACAGTTCTCATTTTCCAGGGTCTCAGAGAATAGTCTCTGAATGAGGAATGTTACTCAAAGTAATAGATTTGTTACTTCTAGTGGAAGGGACTTTCCACTTTTTCAACATATGTGACAAAGCCTGGTTTAGGGAGGATAATGATAGTAATAAAACTAAGAGCCAGATGTCTTGCAAGGTACGCTTGTTGCCACATTTGTATCTTACAGATGAGGAAATGTTCAGAGCATCAGACAGATGGTAACCTCCTTAGTATCTGGACTTCTGGAACCAGAGCTACTCTACCTCAGTGTAAATTGTTAAAATAACCCTGATTTTGTATGAATATTTGAGTGAATAAGCCTGGAATTAGTAATATTTTGTCCCTGATTTTGTTCTCCTCTCCTTTCCTCCCTTTCTAGACCCTGGGACTGAACTAGTAGCCTTTTCCACCAAAGTAAAGCTGTGACAAAGAAAATTCTTTGGAAATTCTATATATTTTACACGTTCCTAAAGTTACCAGAAAATCTAGAACAATGACAAATCGGGCTGGATACAAAGCTTATGAACGCCTTTTTCCATTTGAAATAGCAGTAATTATTCTGCTGCTTTAAGAATTCAAAACAGAGGGGGGATGTAGTTATAGATCTAGTTGCAATGGAAAGATTGCATATTTGATATGAGTAGATTCAATATGAAGTGTTAATAGCATATCTAAATAAAGATTTCCAACAATTGAAAATTCAGTTTAAAAAGAAAAAACTATACATTATGAATCACCTACGTAATCAAGTTATAAGAATAAAAGATAATGGAGACAAGAAGTAATCCAAGTTCTGTTAGTAAGTGATGCTAAGGAAAGCCAGAGAAATACTGGACGGACATGGGCTGTAAAAACTAAGGAACCATTTCAGTTTAACAATTTTTTTTTTAAAGATTTATTTGTGCATACAGAACTGGGGTACAGGCCAGAGACTCAGGGGTGGCAAAAGACTTCACCAGAGACAGAGTGGGGAGCAGAACAGGCAGATCGATGAAGTACACTGCTGAGGGGAGGATCAGGAGAAGTCTGCCAGGCCATGTGGTCACCTCCGGGGCAGGCGGGAATCCAACTCACGCGGAAGTGGTTTCAGCTTCTTAGTGCGGTACTTTAACCCGCTGCGCCACCAGGGAGGGCCCTTAACAAATTGTTTTTAACAATTTAGAACATTTTTGCAGTTGGCAGTTTCTTCATATGGAGGAATGTGTTTTCTTACAAAAAAAAAAAGCTTTTGTATGTCACTGAAATTTTGATTATATAAAAAATACTTGCTCTCAAGGGAGAGAAATATGTAAGCAAAATCACTAAGCAGATTGATGCGATAGGTTCTGGGATAAGATATATGTGCTTTATATAGTAGCATATAAGACAGACCTATGAAGTCATATAGAAAATCTTTGGAGTGCTTATGGACTGACTGGTCATGGGATGATTCCTAGAGAAGGTAACAGGCAAGATGTATATTGGCAAGGGGACCAGGTAAAATGCCAACATAATAATTCACTTGAATCTGTGATGCCATATAGGCATAGAGAAGATGGTACATGTTAAACATTTTTGAATAAAATCCATAAAACTGATTAAGAATAGGAAATGAGGGAGAGGAGGAAATAAGCCCTAACCTGTCTTGTAGGGTTAGGACACGGTTTCCAGAGAAAGCAAATTTGTGTATCATAGCAATAGGCTTAAATTTATAAGTATTTTAATATATTGATGGTGCTTTCAAGTTGGACTGATAAGCTAGGAGAGATTGAGTGAATTAAGGAAATGGTTTAAAGGGAGATATAGTAAAATTAAAGTGGATAAAAGAAAGAGAAGTTTAAGGTCAGAGTTATATGTATACATATATGTATGTTTATATGTAGATGATTTGTGATGAAGCAATTCTACATGATATGCTGCTGATCTTGAATGATTGAAGTGGAGTTGAGATGGTGACTGACATTTAGATCAGGGAACTAAGAAACTAGAATGTTAGGTTTTAAATCCATTATCCACATGGAAATCATCCAATATGTCGGTGGGAATGGAACAGTCTATCAACTAGACACTAAGGACTTTAATAAAGATAGGGGAGAGATTAGGAAATGCCCACATAATAGCAACCAAGAATGATATAAGGCAATATGGTTGCATTCTCTGGTCCTCGAGATAATCTGTTTGTTTTTTAATATTTGGGAGAAGGATCTTTTGAAGACACTGAGAAGTAGATAGAGTGCTGCACACCCCTATTTTGGTTTAGAATTATGGGACAGGATGCTATCAGTGCCTTCTCTGCCAAAAGCATTTTTCTTGGAAACCAGAGTTCCATTAAGACAAAGAGAAAAAAGGAAGTATTTGATAACAAGATTAAGAATATAAAGCAGTTAACCATCAACCAGAAAGCAAAAAAAAGAGTTGGGACAGAAGTAAGGCTGACAGTGCAAGGAGAGAGAAACCTTATTGGAGTGTCCCATGGGAGCATAGCAGAGAGATAAAACTAGAAGGATTGCATTTTGATAAGATAATAGTTATATGAGGAGAGCATCTTATAATAATGATTTCATGGTTATAAATGGGATTTTTAAAAGACTTTTCTTTTTATTCAGCACAGTAGTTTACAACATTTTATATAAGGTGCGAAAAAGTAAGCTTCCACCTCTTCAGGTGTATGTAACTTAATGTTAATGTCAAAACCTAAATTGAATTAAAACAAATCTAATTTTTAGTAGTACCTACAATGCCAATTTGTAAGAAATGTTATTATGAATTAAATGTTTGAGGAAACTGTGAATTATTTATGTCTTGCTATAAAGGATATCAAAGGAGAATTAAACTATTCCTTATTTTCAGAAAGTGTTTCAAGTGACTGAGCCATGGCCAGCAATCATAAACCTCCAGTAACTCGGCCTGTTTCACGAGGTGGAGTTGGATTGACAGGAAGGCCTCCATCTGGAATGCGTCCCCCATCAGGAAATATTCGTGTGGCAACTGCAGTAAGTTTAAAACACATCTATTGAATTATTATTCATATATCCTGGTTAAAATTGGAAATCCTGCCTATGATACAAGGTTGGACTTCGCTATTTCTTTTTTATATAAGCATGCTATTTTATGTGTTTGTGTTTGGAAAATATGTAGAACATAAATTTAGAAGAATGTCTGAAAGACACTATTGAGAGAAGATACCTGCTCAGGATGAATTTAAATTTATTTTAAGGCTGCAGTAATTCAGTGGTATAGTGGTTGGTACTAGAATCAAATGAAATGAAATAAACTGGACACAAAATCTGACCACATGTAAGAATTTAGTTAATAATAAGGTGGCATTTCAAATTACTTGGAAAAACATGGAATATTTAATAGAGCATTTAAATAGCTGGTAAACCTTTTGTTTTTTGTTTTGTTCTTTATATTGACCCTTCCCACACAAAATTCTAGATACTCAGAAACTTGAATTCAGAAAATGAAGTCATAAATATACTACAAAAAATATAGGCATATATGTACTATAAACTTAGTGTGTCTAGGACTGTCTAAAAATGACAGAGACATTAAACACTAAAAAGAAGAGTATTTTGGTATATTTGAATTTAAGAAAATTTAAGAAGTCAGAAGACAAATGACAAAATAGTAAAAAACATACTGGAATGTTTGTCACATAGAAAAGTCAAAAATCTTAAAAATAGAAGACAAACTACTAATTTGTAAGTACTCTTTCTATATCATGGTTATGAACCGTATATCCCATCAAAAGTCCATGACTTCATTTGGGTGCAGAAGGGGAGATAGCATTATATAACTATTCTCCAGTTCATCCAAGACAATAAAAAAGGGAAAATAGGGGCCCTCCCTGTTTGCTCAGCATGTTAAAGCACAACACTAAGAAGCTAAAGCCACTTCAGCATGAGTTCCATCCCTGCCCTGGAAGTGATCCCCATGGGTGCAGCAGACCTCTCCTGACCAGCCTGCTGTACCTCTCAGCAGTGTACTTCATTGATCTGCCTGTTCTGCTCCTCACTCTGTCTCTGGTCAATCCTCTCACCGAGCCTCTGGCTTATACCCTAGTTCTGTATGCATAAATAAATAAATAAAGCTTAAAAAAAAGGCAAAAATAAGAAAAATTACAGTACTCTAATATAAAAATATATTACAAATAATAAGTAAAACAATGTACAGGTAACCCTAGCAGCCTAGAAACCAGCTCTAGTATATGTTAAGCACATAATGTTAGTATCATAAGTCAATGGATCACTGAGAGAGCCACATTAGAAAAAATTTGGATAGTTTATAAACTGATAATTCTAAGCAAAATAACTTACCATAAAAGCAATTTATTTCATTTTTTAATAATTATGACAGTGAAAATCTGGAAGTAACATAAATGATGTTATAATAGGTAAGTCTTAAATAAGTTATAATATGTTTATGATAGACCATTAGGTAACCATTAACAGTTATTTCCAAAGAACATTTGAGCTAGTTATATACCTTTATAATACCACATTAAGTGAAAAGGGCAGACTGCTATCAGTTTAACATTGAAAACATTTATATAAAAAATTTTATGTATATAAAAAGCAATGAATATGCTAAAATATTCATAATAATTTCTTCAATGCTCAGAAGAGTTAATTTTAACTGTCTCATAAGCTATATTAGTTAAGTATTCAGACTCAGACAGCAGCCTAACTAATACTGGACCCTGTGCTTAATTATTAAGAATTTTTTGAAGGGAAAAGTTGGCTTTTCTTAAAGTTTTCATTTTTCTAGAAGTTCAGGTAATGTCACAGTCATTACCAACTTATATTGAACTTATATTACTGTATATATGAATATACATGCATAGACACACATATATATATATGATATACATATATATGGTACTAAGCTAAAGTATCTTTTCCTATTATTCTAATATTTATGAAAAGAACATGTCACTTATTGACCACCTATTATTTACCAGGTGCTTCACCTATTAAAATTTACAGTTTTAAAAATACTAATGCTCTTTGTAAAACATGTCAACAGAGGGCAAAGCATCACAACTTTTTCTCTCTACCCTAAGCCTAACCACTTCAACAGTCTGATGTATACCTTGGGACTTTTTTCTATTCATTCACAAATACTCTTGCATATATAATTTGTATTGGTTTAGTCTTTTCCAAAATCAGGATAATATTATATGGTACATTCTTATTTATCTTCTCCTTTATTTTCAATAATATGTTGAAAATAGTCACAATATATTATTATATATAATAAATTCATATGGATATATACATATATATCTATATTGCTCTTCAGGTGGGCAGTTTTAACTTACAGTTTCTTCTCTGTACTTTAATATGGTAATTTTTTTTTGAAAGCACAGTTATTTGAGTAACGGGAAAGATTTAGCATTCATTCCCAAAGATCATTCAGGATAACTGATCTTATTTCATCTAAATCTGTAGTTGACAGTGTTCCTCTGTAGTGACAGTGTTCTCTAGAATATGTTACCATGCTGGCACCTTTGTTTGAAATATTTATCAAGTAGTTCTCAGAATCTTTGTGAACATAAGAGTTATATTAATTGAAAGGATTAGAGGTAACCTGCTTATAGAATTTCAGATGTTTTAGATAAGTGTCTATTGTACAAAGTACTACAATGAACATAGGGGTACATATATCCCTTCTAATTAGTGTTTATGCATTCCTTGGATAAATGCCAAGGAGTGGAATTACTGGATCATATGGTGTATCTATTTTTAATGTTTTGAGAAACCTCCATACCATTTTCCATTGGGGCTAGATGAATCAGCATTACCACCAACAGTGTATACCACCCAGTTTTTATCTTTCTTCTTATGACTTATTTCACTTATTCTGACTCTAGTTACCAAGTTGGATGGAGGCTAGAGACCAGCAGCCCAATTCCTGCTAACACAGTTGTGATTTGGTCTGGAGTTTTGGTTCCCCTGCTGCTAGTAGCTGCCAGGGCAATCTGGGGAGGGGAAGTTCTATGGCTGGTGACTGGATGCTGGAAGATGTTTGGCTCTCGCTTTTGCAGCTGTCCACTGTCAACTGCCCGCCTTGGCTGGCAGGTACTCTGGCAGCAGGGCTTCCCAGATGGCTAAAGGATGGGCTAGGTTTCCCCTCTCATGGATGTTGCCCAAGTACATGCTTCAGTCCTCTGTCGTACTGTTGGGAGACCAGCTCCAACTATCGAGGTGTCCTGAGGCGATTCAGGCAGGGTCCTAAGATGGGAAGGAAGACATGGGAGTCAGGATTGGGTGCAAGTCTTCTTACTCATTCCTTCAGCAGGTCTTTATTTATACTGTGTAACAAGTAGCTAATTGTAATAATGCATAGGATGAGTTAATGGGAGATCGCCATAAAACGTTCTCAAGGACAAGGGGAACAAAGCATTTTTCTCATAACATTTTATGGTATACTAGATTATACGTTTAGTTATAACTCAAAGGCAGAGGGGTCTGGGAAGGGATGAGTTCCTTAGCAGAAGGTTATTAGGGGCCTTAGGGAAGTCATAAATTGTGTTAGCAGTGTTATCAGTGATTGTCTAAAGAAAAGCTAATGGCTAATTTAAGGCTAGCAGAGAGTAGTAGTGCTTGTTTTAAAAAGGAGTAAATTAAGAGAAAGTTGTACAGTTGTGTATTAAGCAACACCTGTGTAAACAAGGTTAAAATTGTCCTTGAGTTCTTATGCCCTGGGAGTCTTATCTGAGATTTGCTTTTTATTTTAAAGAAACCTAGGAAGCTTCCCAGGAGTTTTTATGCCCTGGGATCTTATCTCTGGGGGGGTTGGGGGGGGCCCTTGTCTTTTGTCTCAGGAGACAGAGGAATTTTCTCACCCTGGGGCAGCTTGCCTGAACCAGGCAGCCCCTTATTAGGCTAAAACAATCCAGTTGTAAACTGATGATTGCTCAGAATATTTTGATATTATGATTATACATACAAAGAAGGGAGGTCATAACATAAGTTAGCACTGGAAATTCTGATTTTTCAGAGCTTTTCCTGATCTACCCGGAATCTGTCATTTGATAGACATTGCATAGCTTGTGTCATCTTACCTTCAGGGCTTAACTGCTTTGTTTTGCTACAGAGTGGAGATTACAAGGAGGAGGTGAGCCTGCATCTTCACTCTGTTGCCAACTTGCCTGAATTCAGAATTAATTTTAAAGAAATATTCTTTAATTAATTAAATTTAATTTTAAATGTTGTTGACTATATTTAATAATTTTCATTTTCCAGATTCCAAAATATAACAAATATTTTAAAAATTATATAGAATTATAATTATAAAATACTCCCTTTGCATTTTCAACAGTAGTAATTGAACAATATTTTTCTCAACTGAAATCTTCGCCATTTAGATGCCCCCTGCAACAGCAAGACCAGGCTCTCGTGGAGGTCCCATAGGGATAGGAGGAGTACTGTCTTCTCAAATCAAAGTTGCTGATCGCCCTGTAACACAACAAGGTTTGAGTGGAATGAAAACTGGGATGAAAGGTATTCATTTTAAGAAGATAAATATATTTAGTATAAAATGTATTAATAGTAGTATAGTACTGAATTAACATTATAGAGCGAATGAGAATTTTATTCAATTCTTGTTCCTTGATTTACAGAACTTGTGAGGGTTAAATAAGAGAATGGTTATGATATTAATTCATAAACTACTAGAGAGTTGCATATACACACACACACACATATGTATATACACTTTTATTTTGTAACTTTTGTAATTTGAAATTTAGAATAATTTGAAAGAAACTAAGATTAAAAGTTAGTTTTTTAGTATTGTGTAGAAATATTCTAAAGTGTTTTTTTGTTTCCATTAGTAAAGTGACACTATTAAAATACTTGTGTACTTATGAGAAATTATTTTTTCTAGTAATAAGTAAGGTAATGAGTCTAACACATAGATTTATACTGCATCTCTCATGGTGCCTTTCTGTATGTGTGTAGAAAAACCTCACAATATCCTATATTATGAATAAAAAATTAGTATGTGCTGTAAATATAAACCAAAGCATGGTTAAATGTTTTATATTGAATTTTTGTTATTTTGTATTTGTAATAAATGACTTATCAGGGCTGAAGGTATCCTACTGGTAAAAAAATTAATTATAAAATATGCTGTCTGTCTTAATATAGTATGTTATACATTTTGGGAGACTTAAATCTTCCTACTTGTATATAATACTGCTTAGCTCACTGAATATTACAAATAATTTATTATATAGATGTGGTTGCTTAATGATTATCTATCTTATAAAAAATGAGTGAAAATTATATATTGAGGCTTTTCAAAATGTACTCATAGATATATATTTATGTTTCACATATAGACACATATTTATATTACTTTAAAATAGTAGAGGTAGAAACATTGAAATTCTGTAGAAAACTCATCAGATATATTACTGCATTATTTTCACCTTCATAAACAGAATCAGTATCATTTAAGATAGTCAGTTTTTACCAATATAAGTCAAGGGCTTACATGAAAGAGTTCTGATTGTTACCATAAGCACCACTATCTACTGAGAGCTTTGTTTTTACTGCTCTAGTGCTCTTTCCCCCATTTTAGAAAGACTGTCATCTCATCATAGATTCCAGTCAGTGTTCCTTCATCTCTGCAAGGTTTGGGACATTTAGCCTTTCTTGGTCTTACTGAAATGTAGGATCATGTCTCAAAAGATGGTCTGAAACAAATTATGAAAAGTGATAATCTTTTCCACACAATGGGTAACTTATAGTACAAACCTGCATATCTTTTATGATAGCCAGTTACTATATGTAACTATTTAAATTTAAGTAAAATAAAAATTTATAGCACCAGCCAAATTTCATACTCAGATTCTGTGTAGCTACTTTACTGGATGGTGCTGATACAGAATATTTGTTGTTAGCAGCATTTCCAAAACAAACACTAATACTTTAAATATATTTTTTTTAGGTCCCCAGCGGCAAATTTTAGACAAATCTTATTATCTCGGTCTTCTTAGGTATGTTAAATAAACACTTATTTTTTTCTATGCCTGATCATGAAGTTTTTAACTATATGCTTATTACTCTAATTAGACACATGTTGATTTCTAAGAACTATTTTGTGTTATAACAGTTTCTGGCTGTGCTACAAACTAGAGCTAATAATACAATTAAGATTTTAAAATTTTGTGAAGAACTGGGTTGTAGGCTAGAGGTGTGGGGTTGAGAAGATTCACTAGAGAAAGAGTGGGGAGCAGATCAGGAAGATCTACTGAAATACACTGCTGAGGAAGCAACTGGCAAGACAGGAGAGGTCTGCTGCACTGTAAGTGGTTTAGCTCCCTGGCAGGGGATTGAACTCATACTGCAGCGGCTGGCAGTAGCTTGACAGCACTGAGATTTTAATCCCTGCACCATCAGGGAGGCCTTAATATTCTGTGAATTTCCGTATGTGAACTCTCTGTTTCAAGTTCACTTTTTTCATCTAATAATAAGAATAATCTTTATGCTTCATTCCCTAATCTGAAGTATTTTATTCATTGACATTGGAATGTCATCAGTTACATTTTAATAAGAAAGGAAAATATACTTATTTAGTGTATATTTTATCAGTATATTATGGATGTGGTCTAATTTTAACTAATTCACAATTTATGTTACATTTTTATTCTCCATTTTTTTATGCATATATTCCTCTGCTTATATATCCTACTGTCCATTTTACATAATTTTCTTCTTGGCTCACTGTCTAGATCTTCTTTCATATTTCCACTCCATTTAGTCCAAACTTCCATCATTTCCTAAGTGCCCTACTTCCTTTTTTTATTTCTTTTTAAATTTTTTAAAAAAATTATTAATTTATGCATACAGAACTGGGGTATAGGCCAGAGGTGCAGGGGTGGTGAGAGTATTCATCAGAGACAGAGTGGGGAGCAGAACAGGCTGATCAACAGAGTGTACTGCTAAGGGGAGCAGCGGGCAGTTCAGGAGAGGTCTGCCTCGCCATGTGGGTCACCTACGGGGCTGGGGATCGAAATTGTGCTGAAGTGGCTTTAGCTTCTCAAGTGCTGTACTTTAGCCTGCTGCGCCACCAAGAAGCACCCTCTTTTTTTTATTTATAAGACCTGAATCTTTTGATTCTCAGGCTCTAGAAGGTGTAAATTTCACCATCTCGGGGCCTTCCCTGGTGGCTCAGCAGGTTAAAGCACAGCACTAAAAAGCCAAAGCCACTTTCACATGAGTTCTATCCCGCCTGCCCCAGAAGTGATCCATATGGCGTGGCAGACCTCTCCTGACAGGCCCGCTGCTCCCCTCAGCAGTGTACTTTGTTGATCTGCCTGTTCTGCTGCCCACTCTGTCTCTGGTGAAGCCTCTCGCCGCCCCTGAGCCTCTGGCCTGTACCCCAGTTCTGTATGCCCAAGTAAATAAATCTTTAAAAAAAAAAAAAAAGATATTGAGGCCATCAATTGTGACTTAAGGTTATAATGACTTGGGATTACTTCATTGTTAATAAAATAAGCTATTTAAATTAATTTCTTTCTTTAGTGAAAAATTTTAAAAATATAACACATGTATTATTGTTACACATTTATGAAAAACATTTTGTTTAGCTAGAGGTTCTGAATTTGGAAAATTGCAGACTTTCTTATTTCTTTCCATTTAGAAGTAAAATAAGTGAACTTACTACAGAAATTAATAAACTTCAGAAAGAAATAGAAATGTACAATCAAGAGAATTCAGTATATTTGTCATATGAAAAGAGGTAAGTAATTTTTAGTTTAAAATGTGCAATTTTTAAAATTATGAGTAACATTTAATGTAACATCAGAAGCTTAATGCTGAATTTTTAATTCTATATAATATTTGTAATGTTCATCTACTTACTTCTCTATGAATGTATTTTTTTATGCTTGCAGAGCTGAGACTTTAGCTGTTGAAATCAAAGAATTTCAAGGAGAACTTGCAGATTACAACATGGTATTGCTTTTTTTCTGAATGAATTTCCTTTGAATATTTTCATTGCTTTTTACACTTTTAAAAACACATTAAATAATACTTAAACATAAATGTTTATGGTGGACAATTGAAGCCATAAATAAGTGTAGAGATTAAACATCCCCTTGTTTTCTCCTCCATTTGAAATAATTTGACCTATTAGATGCATATGTATTCTTCTAATAATTTCAATATCATTTACTTACAATATAATATACAAAATACCATCATGTGCATGTTTTTCCTCTAACAGTGTTAAAATACCAGTTTTTAAAGGACCTAAAATTTATCGAATCTAACAGTGTTAATGATTTAACAAAAAATATTACCTTTTATAGAGTGATGTGATCATGAAACATATTACATATTACCTCTATCCATATGTTTCATTCAGAATAAAGTATTTGTATCCTGTCAGAATATGTAACTTATAGTTCTCTCAATGATTTTCCTAATGTACACTTTTGAAAGAAACAATTTTCTTGGCAGTGCTGATAACTGCTCTTAACTTTAAGATGATAGTGGCTTTATGAAAATATCTAGTGTCCGAATTTTTTTCCTTCCAATATGTTTTAAGTAGCAGTAGTGAACTGGATGAAAGAGAAAAGTTTTTTCTCACCTTCCCTGTTTGAGAATAGGGTCACAAAAAGTAAAACATCCTACCTTAATGGTAAGGTAAATTTGATATTGATCCTTTATAGTGTGATATTGTAACATAGAATTTTACCAACAAACTTAGATGAAGTACATTGGTCTAGGTAGTACATAACTAACATTTTTTAGGGCTTAATAGTGCAAAAATTTTAATAGATGATATTCTATTCAAAATTAGTTTTTTATAAAATATGAAATGACATGAGATGAAAAGGATTTGGGTTATCCTGGAATACATTAAGGAAATTACTTAGTATTAAATATTAGTGTAAAAAGTATGTCATTTGTAGGTTTAATGAAGAAAGCACTTAGCTAGGTATCGAATATATGTCAATAGTAAGTACATGATTTTTAGGTCTTATTAACACCAATTACATTACAAGTGAAAATGTGATAAAATATGTGTTATATTAATTAAGCTTAGTCTTTTACAATCAGTTATGTGCAAATAGTTTACTTGTATTAGTCCTCCTATTCAAATTGATTCCATGACCTAAATTTATTTATTTGCTAAGTGTAAAAGATAATTTCTAGAGTATTTGTAAAATTAAGAGAATCAATACACATTACAGGTTCAGAACAGTGAGTGTAGAAGGTAAATGTTAACTGTTGTAATCATTGCCTACTTTTTCCCAGTAGGCTTACTAGTATCTGTTCATGCTATACCTTACCCTGTTGACTTTTTAAGAGAAAATTCTAGCAGAACAAGAAAATTATTTTACATTTCCATTGACATAAATTTGTAAATGTTTTAATAGCTCTCCACTGGAAAAAAACAAAAGCGTGATCTCCAAACTTTTCTTCTCGAGAACTCCTTTAATATTATCAATTATCTTTTTAGAATAGGCAAAATTCCTTTAGAGAAAGAATTGTTCATTTGCTCATTTTTTTTCTCCTCTAAAATTATTAATTGGCCAAATGTTTAGAATATGTTTACTTGAGTAATTTAATATTTACTTTTACTTTGGAAGATAAAATAGTTGGAATTATTAAACCTAAAATTGCTACTCATTATTTCTAAGATTGATAATTATGTTATGAATTAAGAAGAAAGTTTATAAAAAGTAATAGAATGTGTTTTGTTTTTTACATTTTTGTTTTCAGTTGGTAGATAAACTTAATACCAATACTGAAATGGAGGAAGTAATGAATGATTACAACATGGTAAGATAATTTATAAGTATAAGTAATTTATCTATGTGTATTGTATCCTCCAAAAGGAGGCATTTATAGCTCATAGCAGTTTGATATAACCTATGGACTTTAGCAATAGCTGTTACTCTGACTCCAAATACTAGTAATACAGTCCCTTTAGTACTGTATTTTAAAGTGTCTTCCTAATGGTTAACACTCTTAGAAAGATGCTCTGGCATCTATAGGGCTCACATACAGCTTTAGTTAGGGAATACCATCTACATTTCCTTATATACAAGTTAGTTTTTAAGACTTCTGTTTAATATTTGCACAGGTAAAGCCGAGTACTTAACGAGACACTGTGGCACCTTGACATAGTTTTGTCAGAAAGGGTGAAAAATGTATAGCTAATATGATGTTAGATAATGCTTTTGATTGGCAAATGAGAGTTTATGTTTAATCTTCTTGCGTTAGCTAGTAGAAAATAATACAATGATAACTAGTTTCCTTTGATTGTAAACAGTTAGGTGAAAGTGAAATACAACGTTTAGCTTATATAGCTTATAATTACATGCTGAAAGAGTTTTGTGACAGCATAGAATTTATGACATGAATCTCTAAATTGGAGTTCTAAAAGCATGATAATTAAATAAAATTATTCTTAGCTTTAGAACATAAGAATTCTAAATTTATATATGGTATTAAAAAAGTAATAGTTTATGTTTTGTTAGTTACAAGAATTAAATCCAAATCTTAGGCCCAGTATTCATAAGTACTGTCGACGTGGTCTACTCATACGAAAACTTGAGTGGTTTAAGAATAAAACTCGTGTTCGGTCCAAATTCAGCATATTCCTAATATTTATTAAACATTCAATACATTCTTGAAATGCTCTTCATATAAATCAAGTTTACTTCAGATTATTTGATGGGTCACTAAAGAGTAATTAATAATTTTGGTGTGAGACTGCAATACCAGGGAAGAGACTATTATTGAAACACATACAGTATTTTTTTCAATTTTGCATATAGTATTAAGTTTTATCCAACTTCTCTAAAGATGAGGATCCATTTGTCTAATGACTAAAGCAAAAATTCAGAAGCCACGTGCTGCTTAACAAAAAATTTTATTGGATGACAAGCATATAAATGGAGAAACTGCTCAAAAATACCTTCTCCCTGAACTATAGGAAGAGTTTCCCATTTATTTGGGGACTGGTAAATCACAGCTTCAGGGCAGTCTTGGACAGTCATGCCAGAAGGTCTCCTTATGCACCAGGAACTCTTTGTCCCCTCCCCTAAGGCTCTCAGTTGCCATCTTGAGAATAACCAGTTGGTCCAGTACCTATCTTCCATCTCATGCAGGTAAAGGCAAAACTTGATGTAAACTTTCTTATAATTACATTAGTATTGTTATAATAATCTCTCATTAGTTTATTATCAGAAAGAAACAGTATGGTTTAGTGGTTATTTTTGTTTATTAACTGTGTTAATCCTTTATTCAGCTTAAAGCTCAAAATGACAGAGAAGCACAAAGTATGGATACCATATTTACTGAAAGACAAGCGTAAGTATAATCCCTTTAGAAATAATAGATTTATTAGTGAGCTGTTACTAGATAGTTTGATATCAGAGCTGTTTATTTCCTTACAAATTTTCTTAACTGCCCTTGTTGTATTTTTTTTAATTTTAAAATGTTGAATATGCATAATACAAATTTTATTGTATTGTTATCCTCATTTACCATTAAGTAATTGTATTCAACTTATATTCAAAGAGCACTACTGTGTCTATTAGCTAAATAAGATTCTTAATTCTAAGAGTTTAAATTTAAGTTGATTAAGAACACTTTTTCGTCTCTAATTTGTAATTTTAACCTGGGCTTTTAAACTAATTGGATTATGAGATTTAAACACCAGTCTAATGAGAGGCAGTTACATTTTTTCGTTAGTATTAATAATTAATAGTTATTATAATGACATATCATAGATGTAGATACAGCTTATGTATAACCTGGTTAAAGACCGAATGCATAACTTTGACTTTGGGAATAAGGCAACTCTGTCCGTTACAATAACACCTATAAAAATAAGAAGGTATGATAATATTTGTCTTACTCCATTTGTTCTGTTATAATAAAACACCATAAACAGGTTAACTTATAAACAACAAGAATTTATTGTTTAGATTTCTGGAGGCTGGGAAGTCTAATATCAAAGCACCAGCCTGGTATCAGTATGGTGAAGGTTCTCTTCCTGATTCACACTTCGTACCTTCTGGCTGTGTCTTCACAAGATGGAAGGGGCTAAGAGCTGTGGGAGATCTCATTCATGAGGGTATCATCTGGATACATAATAACTTTCCAAAGACCCCCCTATTAATACCACCACCTTTGGGGATCATGATTTTAACATCAGTTTGAATGGGGAGAACATAAATATCCAGATCTAGAATTTGTTAACATAATTAGTCTTTATTGACTTTTTGACCCTAATTAAGTATTGTGTGAGACCGTGCAATAGAGGAGATGATATATTTTTGTACATACACATTTTGTCCCAGAAATTTAACAATAACTCCTTTTTAAATTAAAAAAGAATTTTGTCAGAATGATAGATTATTTTTAAAATTTGCCTCATTTCCACAATTAATTTGCTCCTACAGAAATTTAATAATAAGGTGTGGCTGATTTATCTGTTAGAAATTCTTAAACATAAACATTTATATTCTTATTGAAAGTATGTTCCTATAAACACAAGCAAATATGCCTAATAAATAAATGGATCAGTTCTTCTATTTCACAGGAAAACCTGAGGAATTAAAATGTCCATAGAAATATTGAAAATATTGCACGTTTCTGGAAATGTAGGTGGTTTTAGACATGTCCAAGTAATTGTGATTCTCAAGAAATATCTGAGAAGGCCAGAAATACTACTTCTGATTAATCTTGAAGAGCTGCACAGGCAGTGAAGACTACGTCAGAATTGTAAGGTGCATGCCTGATTGTTGAAGTAATATCTCAGAATACACACACACACACCACACACACCCCTCCTCAAATAAGTTAGAGGGTTATTGATTCTTTGTGCCTGAGAAAATCTTTGGCCAACTATTAACAAAGCAAACAAAGCAGAGGCTTCAGTAACTACATGTAACAAAAAATACATACTTCACAGAATTGGTTTCCAAGTCACTAAACAAACAAAAACAAAATGTAATAACAGCAAACCCCAGAGAGAGGTGAGAATCTGATGTCCAGAGTTATTGCATTATATTATTTAATATTTTCCTGATTTTAATAAATTAGGGGCTATGCAAAGAAGCAAGGAACACAGGGGGGATAAATAATAGTTAGTGTCATTGATGAATGACAATACAGGGGGGATAAATAATAGTGTCATTGATGAATTCTGACACTTGATTTACTCGACAAAAATTTAAAAATTTAAAAATTCACCATTTTAAATATGATAAAAAACCTTAAAGAAAAACATGTCTGCATTACTAAAATAAATTATGAGAATAGGGTGTCACCAAATATAGAATATCAATAAAGAGACAAAAATTATAAAAAAATAAATTGAAATTCTGGAGGTAAAAAAATAGTCAACTGAAAGAAAAATTTCATCCTACACCTTTGTTAGGATTTGTGCTTGGACTTTGTGCCTGTGCTTTAAAATTCAGTATCAACTGAATTTTCAGGAAATTTATCATGACAGTTCAGGAAGCATTTTTTAAATATTGTACAATTTCATGAATTCATTCTGTGACATGAAATTAATCTTACTGTGTTGTCAGTTTAAACTAAATTATGTTCTTTTGTCTAGACATAAATCCAAACCTTTACTTTTTTACTGATTCCACTCAGTAAAACTTTAATATAATTTCATTTATATTAAACTCCTGGGCTAGGATGAGAATCAGATAGCTTTTTTTTTTTTTTTAAGATTTATTATTTATTTGTGAATACAGAACTGGGGTACAGGCCAGAGGCTCAGGGGCTGCGAGAGGCTTCACCAGAGACAGAGCTGGGAGCAGATAAGGCAGATCAATGAAGTACACTGCTGAGGGGATTAGCTGGTGGGTCAGGAGAGGTCTGCCATGTGGTCGCTTCCCGGGCAGGCGGGAATCGAACTCATGCTGAAGTGGCTTTTAGCTTTTTAGTGCAGTGCTTTAACCCGCTGCACCACCAGGGAAGGCCCGAGAATCAGATAGTTTTAATTAATGAATCATTTACTGTATTCCTTTTCCATACTGTTATGTAATACCTGCTGAATATTGCTGAAAATAGCACAGCTACTATTTGTAGCTGTTAGCTTTTGGTTAAGTGTCAGTTACTATATTTGGACCTATTTGCTTAATACCAATGAGAAGAACAAAACTATATGGTATTGTATTTAACATGAAGATCTACTAGCAATAGTTTGATAATCTACATATCAAAATCTCATGTCTTGATAACAATCTCATGAGTTGATAACATTTTATAGAAAATAAAATATTGGAAGAGATTAATCTTCACATAATACTTGAGTATCTATATATTTATCTTCAATAAATCCATCATCATCTACCACAAATGAATGCAGCTGTTCAAATATTACTGTAGTGTCTTCAGAGTTTGTATTTGATACCTGTGAAAGATAACTTGAATTTCTGGTAAGCCCGTCTTCATGGGTTTCTACTTCATGTTCTTCCAGGCGTTGATGATTGTAACTAAGCAGAAAATTATACCACACTGGACATTTGATGGCAATAAAAATGAGGAATGAAGTGAGCAATACAGTGACCACAACACTGACAAGAAAAAACCAACTTTTTCCAATAGGTTCATGTTCTTAAATAAAAAAGAGAGAGAGAGATTTTGTTAAATTGACAAAAAATAATGCGTGTCTTAATAACATTTCAGTATTAGAGAAATAAACTTAACATTTCAGTATTAGAGAAATAAACATACTTAAAATTTTCTTTAGACAATAATTGCTAAAACTACAAAAAATAAAGGTATTTACGGTGTGGTAAAAGAAAATATTTTTCAAAATAACTACTTATTTTTGCAAGTATTGCAAAAATACTTTCACTTAGGAACATTATTGATTTATGCTTATTAAGATTTAAAACTAAGGCTCAGAGAAGTTAAATAATTTGCATAGTGGCATTTGGCTGCTAACTCTCAGAGCCTGGTTGGAAATCTTTTATTGAGATGAGGACTTGTTCTTTACAGAAATTAAAAATACAGAAATATAGTGAGAATATCCTCAGTTTGTCATTTATTCAGAATACATAATGTATTACAGTAATAATACTTTCAGCAATATTAATGTTCAAAACAAGTACATTACCTGAATTTGTTAAGTTGTTCAAAGAACTATTAAATGTTGAATTGCTTATGGACTGAAAATCATTGTAAAAATCTTCTATTAGTAGTGGAGGAAACTTTGAATAGCATTCAGCCTTATAAGGTACAGCTTTTATACTGTAGTTCTTCAGGATATCTGGGTAATTGCACACAGTAATGTTCTCATTTTCTAGTAAATCAGAGAGAATAAAAATTTATTATAAAAATTAAGAATAGCTAACAAAATTTTATAATTATTTTCATCTAGAATTTTAAATTTATTACCTAGAATTTATGAGATGTATAAAAAACTCTTGTCTAACAACACATTCTTGTTTATTAAGTTGTTTATAAATAAGGTTTAAATGCAGTATCTGTTTTGTTTTTTTTTTAAGATGTATTTATTTATGCATACAGAACTGGGGTACAGGCCAGAGGTGCAGGGGCAGTGAGAGGATTCACCAGAGACAGAGTGGGGAGCAGAACAGGCAGATCAACAAAGTACACTGCTGAGGGTAGCAGCGGGCTGTTCAGGAGAGATCTGCCGCGCCATGTGGGTCACCTCCGGGGCTGGGGATCAACTCATGCTGAAGTAGCTGTAGCTTCTTGGTGCTGCGCTCCAACCCGCTGCACCACCAGGGAGGGCCCACAGTATCTGTTTATTATTTGGTTTGCATTAATACATCTGTTATGATTAAGATTATAGTGAAGATCGGAATCTTTGGCAGAGAGCATGGTTTGTAGTTAAAGTAGGGAGCTTCTTTTCCTCTACTCTGCCATTGATATACTAAGAACAGAATCTACTTAAATTAAAAAGTTAGTCTTTGATAGTGAAATTGTAAACTTAAGTATCATCTCATGCATTTAATATTTAAATTATTTATTTTTGTGGAGGGGCAGAGAGAACGCATCTATTTAGCAGTTTCTTTTCAGTGTTTCTCTTGTTTCTTTCACAGGAATAACTATTACTTTTCTGGGGTAGAACAACCAAAAATCACATTTGGCTTGGATTAATTGAAATTATGATAGCTTACCTAATGTCACATTTGATGTGTTCAACCAGTTCTGTAAATTCAGTAGACTACAAGAGCAGTTCCATGGATTGTCATGTAAAATTATTAACTCCAGATGAAACCGTGGTGGTACATCAAAATAGCTTATCAAGTTGCCTTGCAGATTTAGAAGTATCAGATTTTTTAGAGACACAAACATGTCAGGATTCAAATGTAATATTTTATTTTGGCAGAGATGTAGCTGTTTCAGATTGTTTAAGCCTACAAATGCATCCTGTTTAATTAAGTGAATGGAGTTTTTACAGATATTTAAAATGTTTAGGTTGGAGAGTTTAGCAAAGCTATTACTATATAAAACAGAGACATTGTTCTCAATCAAATAGAGTTCAGTGAGTAAAAAATATTGCTGTAGAACCATAATATCTTTAGCGTTCAGAGAAATTTGGTTGTAACTGAGATCAAGTATACTAACATTTTTATAAATATCAGCTGGAATCAAAGAATAATTCTTTTCAGTGAAATTACATTTGATTTCCTAAAAAAGAAAAAAATTAACAAAGCATTAATCAGAAATAATATTAACATAATTTCCCAAATTTTTAGATACAGACATTGGAAAGAAAAACATTTAGAAAAACACCTGATCTGATGGTATTATAGTGTGAAAAGATAAAGCACAGGCTTTTCTTGATTGGGATGAAATACTGAAGATTAAGGAAATTGTGTTACATACACTTGAGCATAGAGATTATAGTTTAGTATATAGCTTTCTTTAAACTTATGCAGTCATTACAGAAAGAATGTTTCCATTTATTTTTGTGGAAATACATGATGCTAATTCTGTTAAGATATTTAGTATGCCTGTATGCAAGATTGACATTTTTTTTAAAGATTTATTTATTCATACAGAACTGGGGTACAGGCCAGAGGTGCAGGGGTGGTGAGAGGATTCACCAGAGACAGAGTGGGGAGCAGAACAGGCAGATCAGCGAAGTACACTCTGAGGTGAGCAGCGGGCAGGTCAGGAGAGGTCTGCTGCACCGTGTGGATCATCACCTCGGGGTGGGAAATGTACCTGGCACTGAAGGGGCTGCTGCTAGACAGCAGCACTGCGCCCTTACCCATTGAGCTACCAGGGAGGGCCCGCAAGATTGACATTTTTAATGAATAAGTTATTTAAAAACATGTAATTAAAAAAATAAGTAGAATTACCAACACTAAACCTAGACTTTTAAATAATTAATAATTAATATCCAATATATAGTTCTATAGGGTTAACAGCTCAAAGTTTTCAAACAATGTTTTTAGCGTACAAGGAAATAGTTCTTGTGTTGTTTTGGAGTTGAAAGTAATATTTTACTTTATACTAAGAATTCACATATATCTCTAGTCACTTTCAAAGACTTCAGTTTTTAAAATGAAAACTGCTTTTGTCAAGTTAGATTCTGACTCAGAGATAAGACTTTGAATTTATAGAGCTAAAAAAAAAAAAAACTAGTTTGATAATTTGGGATTTTTTTTAATTTTCTTTTTTTTTTAAATTGTCTTGGCGTATTTTGTTTAATGTAACCAACTGTACCCTTGAAAAATCACTACTTGTTTGTAAAAACTTACTATTTCCGAAGTCTGACTTTCATCTGATAATAATAGCATGGAGAGGGTCCAAAACAAGATTGTGATGCATCTGATTTTCATGTTGCAGACCTGATAGGAAAAAGAAAATTTACATCTGGATAGCAGACTAGCACTTGAAAGATTATTTAAGGCCTCTTGATAGTCCTTTTCCTCTTTCAGTTTTTCTTAGAATGCATAAAATGTGAAACAAGTACTTGTCTTTCACTTTCCCTATACTCTAATTTTAAACTAAAACCTTATATGAAAAATGAAATTATTTTTTAAGGTGTCTCATTAGTTTCTGGATCTATTGAAAGGAACTTTAAAACAAAGGGTTGTGCATTTAAAATTTTTAAATTATGCACACCAAAATATTCAGAAGAATGTGTATTTATGAATATATACATGTTTAAATATATCTTTGTTGTTGCCCCTTGGCTTTTCAATTTTAGGTGTTAACTATAGCTACAGTCTGTTAACTTTGTGTGAGATAAGAGTCTTCAGCAAATTTTCAAACACACTCTTTCTTCATTTCCAGCACATCAACTGTATACTTCCTGCCTTTTCATTCACAGTACATTATATTTTTGGTTAGATTAACATTCATTGTTTTTGCTACCATAAATATAGAAACTGTCAATGAAGTATGTAAGAGGATTACATATCTATTCTTGCATTTTTCCTTCTAAATTAACTGTACTTTTTAAAAATTTTACTTCATTTTGTTTCTTTTTTTATGAATTTATGCATAAACTCTCGCCTAGAAAATCTCTCAATAGCTTTTTTTTTTTTAAACTCTTTTTTCCTCCCACCAACCCTTATAAATTGCCCTGACACCATCTCCCTCCCCCTTTTCTCTTAACCTCAGAAGTTTTGTTTTGTTTATTGGTGTCCACTAGTTTACATAAGTATTTGCTTTGTGGAATAATCTGTGTACAATATTTACCTTTGTCATTCTGACTTGCTTTATTATACATAATTCCTTCAATCTCCCTCCCTTGCTGGTACAAATCTCTTAATAGTTTATATGTACTAGATACTTTATGTTTTATCTACTTAGAAAAGCTTCTCCATTTAGGGTGGCTCCATGTAGGGAGCTGATCCCCTGTCCCTCTCCACAGATGCTGACATCTGCTCTCCCTCTGTCCTCAGAAAGAGTCCCCTTTACTTTTGCTACTGGATTCCTGTTTTCTAAAGTATCCTGTCTTGAGTTATTGCCTCATTTTTTTTAAAGATTTATTTATTCATACAAAACTGGGGTACAGACCAGAGATGCGGAGGGTGAGAGGCTTCGCCAGAGACAGAGTGGGGAGCAGAATAGGCAGATCTTTGAAGTACACTGCTGAGGGGAGCAGCGGGCAGGTCAGGAGAGGTCTGCTGAGCCATGTGAATCTCCTGCGGGGCAGGCAGGAGTCAAACTCATGGGGAAGTGGCTTAAGATTCTTAGTGCTGTGTTTTAACCCGCTGCACCACCAGGGAACCAGGGAGGGCCTTTTTTTTTTTTTTTTTAATGGAAATGCCTACAGTAATTTATGGAGGTGGGAAATTTTTTTTAGCTCTCAAAAGATATTTTGACTACTAACAATTTAAAGTCAGAAATAATTTTCTCTCAGAAAGTTGGTGGCATTGCCCTCTTGTCTTTGGGTTTCTAGTATTACTTTGATGCCTTGCCACACTATTTCTTTATTCTTTTGTCACTTGCCTCTCAATCTCAGTAGCTTTTAAAGTCACTTTTCAGAAATTTCATGATCTTGTATGAAAGTCAGTTTTTGTTGATAAAAATGAGTTTATATTCCTTGGTGTGTGTTTTCAATCTAAAAGCTACAGCTATTAGTTCTAGGAGATTTTATAAATTGTTACATGCTGATTTGTTTTTCTTCTTTTCAATCTTTCTAGAACTTCCTTAGTTGTGTGTTTGATTTCTTAGAATAATTTTCCAATTTTTTTTATCTTTGCTCTTCTGCCTTTCACTTCTGTCTGCTTTGCCCTGCTTTCTGGGAGATAGCCTCAGTTTTATCTTAAAATTACTCTGTTAAGTTTTCTTTCCCTGCCATCATTTTAATTCCATGAGTTCTTTTTCTCCTCTGAATATTGTCCTGTGTGTTTCTTTTCTTGCTATTTCTTAATTAATTTTTCCTTGAATGCCCTCTGTTGCCACAGGTTGTGCTTTTCTGGTTTAATTTGGTTAATGTCCTTTATAATAGAGGCCTTATTCATATATTTGTTATTGGGTTTGGAGCTTACATATAAAAGTCGGTGACTAAAAAGCTAATTGGAAACCGTATTTAGGAGTCTTACTGACTCTAGACCTTGTTGTAAAGCAGAACTTGTGGTGCTATTTGCTTAGGAATACCGAAATTACACTATGTTTAGCTCTTTTCTCTTGCTGGTTGGATTCTTCTAATCTACTGCCTAAACAGATAAAAAAACATGGCCAGGATTCTGAGAGCTAGTGAAAAGGTGGGCATATCTTAGCAGTATGTTGACTTATTCTCACTGTCAACTATATGTTTAGTCCCTTCTCCTCTGCTTATACAATAACCAATGCTGCCATTTTCTGAGCCACTAAGAGGTTCTGCCGTAGAAATTCTGGACCATTTAGGGGTTCAGGTAACTTTTCAACTTTCCCCCATGTCTGGCTTGGGGAAAATTTTGCTTTACCAGTCAATTCCACCTTAACTACGAGCTGCCTAGTTTCTTGGTTTTATTATCATTGCTCTTCCTATTCTCTTTGTTCTTGGAGTTTATATCCCTTATTACCTTTTATTTTCATTCTCATTGGGGTCTGGGCAGAAGTCAAAATTAATAGCTACATCCAACAAGACTTCTAACTTGAAATCACCCTTTGTTAGAGTAAATTCTTCTTGCTAAATAGTTATTTTCCATTTAATCATTTATTTATAACTGATGTTTCTTGTTCTTTCTTTTTAAAGTCATAGAAACTATGTTTCAACTGGGTATCCATTTGAATGGATATAAAGACATCTTTATAGTGTTTTTAAACATTTTGTCTTTGAACATTCTGATGGCTTTGTTACTATTGGTTACTTAAGATTTTTAACAAGAGTTAATTCCATCAGAGCAGAAAGTAGGAAAATTACTGAGATGAAACTTATTTCAAATTACTAAAGTTTGTTACCTCATTAACAAGGAGAAATTTATTGTTATTTCAATATTGGTTTGTTTTAGTTGACTTCCTGATTTTTTTTTTCAATTTATTGATTTACTTATGTATAGTCCCCTTCCACTTTTTTTTCTTTTCCTTAGTTAAATTGAATTTTTAGAAAAAAGCTACAGTTTCTTCTAGATTTTAGAACTTAGATATATCTCATAATAGGATCTCTTTTAAAGTAAGAAATGATATAAAATTAAAAAAATAAAGTAAGAAATTAATTCAAACTATTACTTACTCTACACCATTTCTTACAAAAGGGAGATGCCCAAAGTTATAAAAGGTAATCTATCCTTATTTAATGATCTTTAGGAATAAATATACAGCTTCTTTTGTGACTTATTTCGGTATTTTCAGTGATGTCATAAAGTTTATATTGTGATCTATGGCTGAATGATATGTTGGCAAATAAAGGATATGTACCTTCTTTTTTTTTCTGCCCAGAAATAAATAAGGTAGAGATCACTAAATAGGGTAGGAATATACAATATACAAAGATAATGAACTGAACCTAAGATTTGATGTGAAATAGGAACAGCTGAAGTAAGTAATGGAGGTCATGCAGAAATGTGGAGACAGAGGATTGTTCTGCAATACTTATATCATCTATTTAATACCAGTAATTATTTTTTCCATTATTCTACCAGAAATAAAACTAAGGGTTTAAGGAGTCTATTTTTTCATAATTGATTAATTTTAAAATTACCAGCAACTCAGAACTTAAGATAAATTCTAAACAAATAAGTGCTGAAGTTATTTTGGTTTGTTGAATAACATTGTTAAAAATCAACATGCTAATATATTACATTAAATTAGCCACTAGAATTCTGTGCTTCACCATACAGATGACCTCTTTTATCCAACATATCTACTTTGCTTCCCATTCCCATGTGGTAGCTAATTGGTTGTATAGTCTAATTTTTTTTTTTCCATTTGCTAAAAGTGTTTTATAATGGAAAATTTCAGGACAAAAAAAACTTGAAGAAGAATGGTACCCAGTATCAATAGTATCAACTAGTGGTCAATCTTTTTTCACCTTACGAAGTTGTTTTTAAGTTATTGTCACTACAAAATGTCTTGTGATGAATATACTTCAAAATAAAAAGATCTTATAAATTTGATTGGCTACATGAAACCTTTTTTGGTTCTGAAGAAAAGCAGTTATTTTGTGTTACATCATAGCTTTATTAGGAAAAGATTTTTTGTCCATGTCCTAGGTTTATAATTTTAAGGTCAGTTGCATAAAAATATAATCACATTTTTGGCTCTTCACTTTTTAAAAGCAAAGATCTGTTCTACAGACTTAACAAACTTAATTATCATTTTTTAGAAAATCAACAGCCACCACCAAACCTGTAAAACCTATAAATACATGGTATCTTACCTTCATTTTTTTGCTTTTGTCTCAGAAAATGGCATGCTAAGAGATGTGTTCTGTTTCTTCTACACCAGTTAAAAAAGAAAGTATGCCATATGATTACATTTCACTTTGTGTTAACCTTTGTACCTAGTGAACAGGTAATTAAAAAAAATGCTAGAGTTCCTTAGCAAAAGATTGACTACAAGAATAATTTCTTCAAATCATCTTTGACTTTTGCATGTAATAAGGTGGTTTGGGTAACTACCTTATTTTGTTTCTTTTTCACAGTTACTCTTGAAAAAATTTAAATATAAGTGGCTTGTGTTATGAATTAAAGTACATAATGATAGTTGATAATGCATACTTTGAAAGATATGTAACTAAGGTGATTTGAGTTGGACACAGAGGTAGTCTGGTTTTGGAACAATTCAAGTGAAACGATTTCACCAAGTTTTACTTTCCACTGAGTTTCAACTGTTGTTTACTCATTTTTATGACACCCTCATTGGTGATTTTACTGCCAAGTTATAATAGGTACAAAGTTCTGAAAGCATGGAAAGATCTGATACTTGGCCATTTTGTTGTCTTAAAAAAAATTCAGTTACCTTCCTTGTGCTATAATTTTCTCTCTGTGGAAGGAAACATTATCCAGCTTTGTTCCCATCTTCGTTCTAACTTCAGTAGACATTTTTGTTCCCATCTTCATTATAACTTCAGTAGACATTAGGCAAAAGTAAAAATGATTCATTGTTCGTAGTGAAGAATCATGGAGTTCAGAATGAGTTAGTTCCAGAAGATTCTTTTCACTATTTTTCTTTACCATGTTACTAATTGGGAGTAAGTGGCATATCATTGGTATTTCTTGTGATTATATAAAAAAGATGTTTATGGCCTTTGATTAATTTTATTACTGCTTTACAGGATTATATTTGTACTGTTCTTGTCTTCAGGAAAAATAACTTAGTGTTTTAAAATGTTTAAATGTAACTGATAATTGGGCCCTCCCTGGTAGAGCAGCTGTTAAAGCACAGCACTAAGAAGCTACAGTCACTTCAGCATGAGTTCAGTCCTGGCCAGAAGGTGATCCACATGTCACAGCAGACCTCTCCTGACCCGCCCTCTGCTCCCCTCAGCAGTCTACTTAATCTGTCTGTTCTGCTCCCAACTCCATCTCTGGTGAATCCTCCCACCGCCCCTGTACCCCAGTTCTGTATGCATAAATAAATTAATATTTTAAAAAAATGTAACTGATCATTTCTGGAATACCATTTACAATTAAAGCAATAGGTGATAGGAAATTTAAGTACAACATTATTAATCCAAAGTATTTTATTTTTTAAATAAACTTGTATTGTGAGTTTCCCCAGACTCCAGTTCAGTTGGAGCTGTTTTGCTTTATATGACATGTTATGAAACATTTCCATAACAAAGAAATCTGTCTTATGATATTTGAAAACTACTCTAAAATTTAGCTGTCTTCATTGTCTTGAGGATGTGATAATAAAAATTGTAAATGCATTCTTATGTACAAGTCTTTCAAAATTTTCTTTGTTAATATTGTTAACAAAAATCTATTTTTTTCTAATGAATAGAGTGGATAGTAAGGAAATAGAAGAATTTGGGAATTGAAAAGGGAGCGACATAAATCTGAAGTGATCTGTCCAAATTTTGTACAAGCCAAATAGAATTTTTTTTTTAAAGATTTAGTTATGCATAAGAACTGGGCACAGGCCAGAGGTGCCGGGGGAGTGAGCGGATTCACCAGAGACAGAGTGGGGAGCAGAACAGGCAGATGGACAAAGTACACTGCTGAGGAGAACAGCAGGCAGGTCAGGAGAGGCCATGTGGATCACCTCCAGGATGGGGATCTAACTTATGCTGAAGTGGCTTTAGCTTCTTAGTGCTGTGCTTTAACCCACTGCGCCATCAGGGATGGCCCCAAATAGAATATTTTTGTACAATTACAAGGATTTTTCTATCACAAGCTATTGTTAAATAAATTTTCATGTCCTAAAGTTTAAGTTGAACTGACCTTGGTAAAATTAACTTTGTACCCCCTCACTTTTGATTTCAGGAAAGAAAAACAAATTAGAAGTGTGGAAGAAGAGATTGAACAGGAAAAACAAGCAGCAGATGGCATTATCAAAAATATGTCTCCTGAAAAACAAGTCAAGTATATAGAAATGAAAACTGCAAATGAAAAATTGTTGCAGGTAATACTAATTTTACTTACTCTGTTCAGTCTTGCTACTAAAAGTCTGAACATGGGAATATAATCAACAGTTTAAAAATACCTATTGATCAAAATATTCATTTTTACAAGATCAACAGATTTGTCTGGACACTTACATTTGAGAAGTCAGATCAAATTTTCTTAGGCTGCATAAATGACCTAGTTTTTGCAATATTATATGCATCCTTAATTTTTACATGTAATAGATACAATTTTTTAAAAGATTTATTTATTTATGCATATAGAACTGGGGTACAGGCCCAGAGGATTCACCAGAGACAGAGTGGGGAGCAGAACAGGCAGATTAACAAAGTACAGTGCTGAGAGGAGCAGCGGGCGAGACAGAAGAGGTCTGCTGTACCATGTGGGTTACCTCCCTGGCCAGGGATTGAACTCATGTTGAGGCAGCTGCTGCCAGCTTCGCAGTGCTGTGCTTTTAACCCATTGTGCCACCAGAGAGGGCCCTAAAGACAATTGTTTCTATAATGATGTTTTAATAGAAGCAGCAAAAGACCTCATGAAGCAGAAGTATATGGACATTTACCTCTTTACTTCCTTCTAAGCAGTTTAAATTTTTTTCCTGCTATGTCTTTGGTTTGAACAGTGACTATCCTCTAACCGTGATACTTATGTAAGTAATATGCCTAAGTGGAATATTAAGAATTGTCCTATATTAAGTTGTGGTTATGAGTCATATTCACATGGTAGTATCCTTTCATGCCCAGATATCCCTTAACCAAATGGTTAAAGAGAATTAGTCCCCACAAATGCCAGTTTTGAATGTAGTTGTAGTTTCTTCATCTTCTTTCATTACCAATTTAATGTAACTTATCTGACAGAATTTATAAGCCACAGTGAAACAAGAAGAAGGTTTATTATAGAATTTTAAAATACATAGTTATTCTTTCACAGAAATTCTGAATGAGTAGTAAGTTCCATGGCCTTATCTCTTATCCTTGTAAATTGGTATAACTCTTGGTTCTAAAAGATATTTGGGTAAAGATATGAAAATACAGTTTAAAAGATCAAGAGTAAAAATCACAACTTTAAACAATGCCATTGTTAATTGGAAGACTTCTGATATTCTTTGCACCAAATGATAATTCACTGTGAATAGGTCTGTCTACCTTTGACAAGTTCATAAACTACTTTTATATGTAGATCTTGGTAAGGTTTTCAGGAATAGTGGAAGAAAGTGGGCAAAAGGGAATTAAAGAACATTAATAAATTCTAGTAAACTTTTCAGATACTGGTTCAAATTGTTTACAAAATTTATTTTGCTACATCCATATTTGAAATTTTGAGAAACAAATATTCTTCATGCTGTAATTTTCATTTGTGTTTGCTCTTTTCCCTTGTTCTTAGGAACTAGATACACTCCAGCAACAGCTAGATTCACTGAACATGAAAAAAGAGAGCCTGGAAGCAGTAAGTACAAAATTAAATAGGATTCTTACATTACTTAGTCACAAAAGATAATTTACTCAAGTATAAATATTATTAGAGTTCCTTCAAGTACATACTCATTTAGCAGTTTACTAAAAAGATCATAATCTTTTTTCTCCATTCAGGACTATGCAGCCTCTTGTTTGATAAGAAATTAGATTTAATTATTGAGTATTTACTATGTACATAAGAACTGATAAAAATTTTTTATTTAATAATCGAATTTTCATTTATTGCAATAATGTTGATTTACATCACAGCATATTTCTTAGTTTTATACTTCTACATTTGTATGTGTTTTTTACCATACCTACCACCCAAACCCTAGTAATCCTTCTCTGGCCACCACTCTGCTTTGCTCCCACTCCATTACCCCTATTACATCCCCTTTCTGACAGTCTTATTCATAGTGATGAAGTAATCTCCTTTCTTCATCATTTGGTTTTCGTCTCTGACTTGTGTGTCCTAAAGATGTGAAAGCAATCATTTGTTTTTTTATTGGTTATTGAAAGTGGTTTTTAATTCATAAAACAAAATGTTTATTTTTTAAAACAAATTGAAGAAGTTGAAAGTTTAAAAAACTTAGTCTTTTTTCCCCATTGGTCTATTCTTAATTTTATTGACTACTTACTATGTTTTTCCAAGCTATTTATGTCTGTCACCAGTATTTTTACTTAATCTTCACAACAACCCTATAAACCCATTATTATTATGGAAAATCTCAAGTCGAATTTACACTTGAGATGCTACCTACAGCTGTTTAGTTTGTGTTTTAATACCTAATTTCTCTTGACTGTCTAATCACAGCAGTTCTTAAAGATCTTCCTTTATTATTTCAAAGTACTACATTATATTATACTTATAACTGTGACACAACTTGGATAGACTATTGTTTAGGGGATTATTGACAACATACATTTTTTGCGTAAGATAAACTCTAGCTCTGGGTATAAAGGTACATATTTGTAGAATGATGTGAAATTGTCAAATTACTTTCCAAAAAGGCATTGTGTTTTCAACTCCCACAGTTTATGAGAATGCCTTTTGTCCACTGTATTCATTAAAAGCAGGCATTATCTGTCTTTTCATTTTGTTACTTTAATAGGTAAAAATTACTATTTTGTTTTAATTTTTATTTATTCATGAAGTATTCCTTTATACATTTATTGGACAGTGTATGAGTTATGAACTTTTTTTTATGCCCTTTGCTTGTCAGTATACTGTTTGTACTCCAGAACTTTCCTACCTTCCCAAGGATTAAGTAATTATTTTGAAAATAGGATCGGTGATACTATAGATTAATGAGATTGCTGACAAGAAATAAGACTTGGCAGTTTAGTTTCCATTAGAAAAGTGTGATGGTCTTGGATTTAGTTTTTGTACTGATGCCTCTGTTCTTTGGTATTGGTTGATGTGTGGCTAAAATAGCATTTTAAAAAATTGTTATATTCTCAAGTCAAGGAAATGCCAGTCATTTAATTTTTGCCAGATATTATTTATTTACTTATTTTTGGACTTTTCTAGAAAGTATGCCAAATACCAGTCAACATATTTATTGAATATCTACTCTGTACACTCTACTATGCTAAACATTACCTGTAGATTTACCAGGGTGTATGTAAAAAAAATAAGGTAAAAGATCAACATGAGGTAAAGTCCTCAGGAACACTTTATAAAGATGCAGTTTAAACAACTCCATAGAATGGTTAAACAAATTAGATGGGAAAAACTATGAAAGGGATACCTCAAAATGCATTTCTTATACCTGTATCATGCCGTTGAATTCAAAGTTAATCCACTACTTGAACTGTATTTATAACCCTTTCCTATAAACATTTCCTCTTGTTCATTTTTTCTTTTTTAAGATTCCTTCTTTTTTGCTTGCAAAAAAAGATGTTTCTTCCCTCTTAAAAATTTAGTTTTATTCATGTTGTGAATCTGATGTCATCATTAGCTCTTTGTTAAAAAATATTATTTAGATTTCATATTCTTGGTTTTCTCATTTACCAAACATGAAAATCTACAGTTGCTTTGAGAATTGTTATGTAAAGAACATGGAGTACATTGCCTTGTTCAAAATGAGCACTCGATAAGTAACAGCTTCCAATGTTATTTTCATCATCATCATTGTATCATTGCCACCACCATCCACAGTCCTAGCTCTTTTAATTACTTAGTAGATGTGTCACAGCCCATATTTTCTCTTGGTGAGCAGGACAGCTGCAAATATATGTAATTATTCTAATTGACTGTATTAGTTTCTAGTGCTCCTATAACAAAGTATAATAAACTGGAGGCCTTAAACCAACTTACATTTTGTCACAATTTTAGAGGCTAGAAGTTAAAAAATCAAGATATCAGCAGAACCATTCTTCTGAGCCATCCTTGCTTTCCTAAGCCTCTGTTAGTGGCTGTCAATTCTTGGCTTTCCTTGACATCACTGTAGTCCCCGCGTCTTCCCAATTTTTTCCTTGTTTATCTATAGATCTCTTCTTCTCTGAAAGGACAGCAGTAGCACCAGATTAGACTCCAGTGTAATGACTCATCTTAATTTGTCTAAATCTGCAAAAACTCCATTTCCAAATTAAGTCACAATCACAGGTACTAGAGACTAGTAGGACCTGTATATCTTTGGAGAAGACACGATTCAACCATAATGTTGCATGACTTATTTCAAGGAAAAATAACTCTTCTCTAGAGCTCAGTTCTTTGGATTTTAAATTGGTTATTGTGGTTAAAGTTGTACATACATTGTGACATATTCTTTATTATCTTACCGTTCAAGTATTATATTTAGAAAAGTATGAAAATACATTTTTATTTCAGCTTAGAAATATAATTTTTAGCATTATTGAGTATTATAGATGCCTGATATCTATTTAAAGATGCTGTTGGTTTAAATTTACCCTTATTCCTACAAACAAAAACCTATTTGCAAATAGTTTTGGATAAAATACTAATTTTTTGTTCCTCTCAGGAAATAGCACACTCCCAGGTAAAACAGGAAGCAGTATTACTGCATGAAAAACTTTATGAATTAGAGTCCCATCGAGATCAAATGGTTGCAGAAGACAAAAGCATGGGATCTCCAATGGAAGAGAGAGAGAGATTACTCAAGCAGGTTAAAAAATATATATTTATTTTAACATATCACAATTTAGAAAATGATTGATTTAAGGCATATCAATTGGAAATCAATAAGTTTGTTATCTTCAAAAGTGAAAAGTAAGTTTCACCTAAATTAATAGGAACTACTTTACCAAGACAGTATAGGAAAAAGTCATTTTTCACATAAACTGTTTTTTTTTTTTTTTTTTGAGTTACATCCTAATTTTATATGGTCTTTATGAATGGTTTTGTGTCCTCTTAAAAAACAGTTGAGATTTCTTTTTTGGTCAGTAAATACTTATATAATCATGTTGAGACCTGTTTCATTATTTGTTTTGGGTTTCATATTTAGAAAGTAAAGTGCCCGAAGGCTAATAACGTCTTGTGACTATTACAGTCAGTGCCTCCATGAAGTTAATGGGATTAAAGTGATTTATGAGATCATAGTATATCAGAATGTCATGTCCCATGTTCTCAGTACTTTATTACTATCCCAACGCTGGTTTCATTTATTTATTCATACAGAAACTGAGGTGTATACAGGCCAGAGATGCGAGGTGGAGGGTGAGGGTAGGGTGAGAGGATTCACCAGAGAGAATGGGAAACAGAACAGGCAAATCTGCTGAAATACACTGCTGAAGGGAGTAACAGATGAGGCAGGAAAAGTCTGCTTTGCCATGTGATTTGAACTCCTGCTGCAGTGGCTAGTGAGTGATAGCTTGATAGTGACGAGATCTGTTTCATTATTTGGGTTTCATATTTCGTTGCACCACTAGGGAAGCCCCCAAGGCTGGTTTTAATCTCATACTAAGTTATAATTAGTTTATTGTTTATCCTGAGACATCCTGACTAGAGAAGCCCTTAGAAGAACAACATACATATTTAGGGATGGCTCTAATCAGGGACTTAAAACCTAGTGGGTTTAGAAGAACTTTGGGAATCAACTCAGGAACTGTTTAAGTATTAGTATCATTCCAAAAAGGTATAAAATGTAGAAACTCTGGAGTTTCTTTTAAAAAAATTCATTAAAAGCAGGGGAGGAATGTGACTTCAGGCTAATATTGCTAGATAAAACACATAACAATTATTTAAATTTGAGTTTCAAATAAACAGTGAACAATCTTTGAAAATAAATGTGTGTGTGTGTGTGTGTGTAATGTAAGAATGGTGAGTATATCCCAGATATTATATAATCTATTGTAACCTAAATTTATTTGCTTATCTGACATTCAGATATAATAGGGATTGCTAAATTTGTGAACCAAGTCTAGAGGGAATAGAGGAGACAATGATCAGAAATCCTAGAGGTTTATATAAACTGATCCAGACCTGAAGATATGTTACCTTCTTGCTGCCTCTTGGAAAAAGGAAAAAATCTGTGAACAGCTCCTTGAGGAAGAGACTATATTTGACATTTTGGATAACTTGCTTTAGAAGTTTGGCAGGGGCTGCCCTGGTGGCGCAAGGAGTTAAATCTCAACACTATGAAGCTATCATTAGCCACTGCAACATGAGTTCAGTCCCCACTAAGGGAGCTAATAATCCACATGGCACAGCAGACCTCTCCTCTCCCTCTTCTCTCAGCAGTGTATTTCAGTCAATCTGTCTTTTCTGCTCCCCACTGTATGGAAAATCCTCTCACCCCTCCTTCTCCCCACACAGACACACCTCTCTTCTACAGCTTAGCTTTTGTATGCATAAATAAAACACAAGGGGCTATGGTGATGGTTCACGGTGAATTGGTGGTGGAAATATTATGGGGAATATACAATGATATAAAAGATACAAATAAATTAATTAAAAAATGATTTAGAAATTTAAACAAGTTTAAGTAAAACAAATCTTTAAAAAAATAGTTTGACAGTAAGTTGTATTTTTTTTTAATACTGTTGTGCATTTATGACTTTATAGGTTAAAGAAGATAATCAAGAAATAGCTAGTATGGAACGACAGTAAGTACTCAGTTATACTAAGATTTTTTTTAATCCATTTCACATTTTTTTTTAAGATTTATTCATACAGAACTGGGATACAAGACCAGAGATATGGAGAGTGAGAGGATTCACCAGGGACAGAGTGGGGAGCAGAACAGGCAGATTGACGATGTACACTGCTGAGGGGAGCAGTGGGCAGGCCAGGAGAAGTCTGCCACGCAGTATGGGTCTCGTCCTGGGCAGGCGGGGATCGAACTCATGCGGAAGTGGCTTAAGCTTCCCAGTGCAGTCAGTGCTTTCACCCGCTGCGCCCCATTTCACATTTTTTTTTAAATATTTATTTATTCATACAGAACTGGGGTACAGGCCAGAGATGCGGAGGGTGAGAGGATTCACCAGAGACAGAGTGGAGTACAGAACAGGCAGATTGACGAAGTACACTGCTGAGGGGAGCAGCGGGCGGGTCAGGAGAGGTCTGCCTCACCATGTGGATCTCCTCCGGGGCAGGCGGGAATCGAACTCATGCGGAAATGGCTTAAGCTTCTTAGTGCTGTGCTTTAACCCCCTGCACCACCTGGGAGGGCCGCATTTCACATTTTTAAAATTATTTTCTAAATGTATAAGAGCTGCCCATTGTTAAAATTTTTTCAATTGGTTCACATTGTTAATTTGATACACCATCCTTGGTATTATAGGGGTTAAAATCTCAGCGCACTATTGCCAGTTACTGCAACATGAGCTTGATCCCTAGCCAGGGAGCTGATCCACATGGCTCAGCAGACCTCTGTGTCTTGCCTGCTGCTCCCTTCAGCAGTGTATTTCAGTAAATCTGCCTGTTCTTCCTCTATGTCTGCTTTCTTCCTCTATGTCTGCTGAACATTCTCACCCCTTACCCCCCAACACTTTTGGCCTACAGTAATTCAGCTCTTGCACGCAAAAATAAAAATAAGTCTTTTAAAAAATTGATGCAACTTTCAACCTTAAAGTTTTAAATATTGCTTTGTTTAGATAAGATAAGAGACATTGCATCATGTAGATGCTTATGCATATCCAGTTGTAGCACCATTTGTTGAAATAGTCTTTCAAAAAATATTATTTAATGTTCTCTCCCCATTTGTTTGTCACTTTTGTGAAAAATCAGTTGTATAGAGAGACATGGGCTTCTTTCTGGACTCATAGTTCTATGCCATGGCTATATATGTCTATCCTTCTTGCAATACTACACTGGCTTGATTACTGTTAGTTTGTAATAAGTATAACTGGTTTTTGTTACAGTTTTAACTGACATAATCTTCTGATTTCCAATTTTTGAGACTAATTTCCCAGTTTAGGTCAGTTATATAAGCATACAAGAAATAGACTGCTAAAGATTTTCATTTAATATCACAAATCCACTTTAACATGTAGGAAATGGTGTGCTATCAAAGTTGGCAACCTAACATACTCAGAATACACCATATGCCAAATAGGAATCATTAAAAGTATTTAGAAAAACTTTCCCATATAAATTTATATTACTAGCCTCAGAATAGATCACAGTGCTTCTAGCCATTGTTCATGCAACTTAGAAAAGATTTAAGATTTCCTAAAATCATCTAAGTATTTTTACTGAACGTCTTAATGAGCAGTCATGAATTCATTAACTAATATTTTCAACAGGTTAACAGATATAAAGGAAAAAATAAATCAATTTAATGAAGAAATTAGACAACTTGACATGGATTTAGAAGAACACCAAGGTAATTTTTTTTTTTAATATAGATTAATCGATCTGCATCGTTATTGGTACAGTACTAACTTGAGCCTTGGGGACTGTTTGCTAGGAATTTATTGTTTATGACAATATATATTATATTTTATAAGAGCATTAACTTGAAATAACTTTATATGGTGATATAGTGACAAAAATTAATTTTGCTTTGCAAAGCAGTTTTTAAAAAGAGCATAAAGTTTTTAAATTTTATACATTTTAAAGTTATATTTTCTTAATGTGGTCAACAGCTCATTAACTGTTTGGTGATACAGTTCATGGAGGATCAGAATGTTGCAGTCAGCTATCTTAGTACATACATATTTGGTACATAAATTTCTGTAGGATAAATTGCTTTAAATGAACTTTTAAATAGAATGTAATAGTTACATGTTTTTTTGAAAATTTCTTTACAGAAAAGGTTCCATCATTTCCAAAACATAATATATGAAAGTGTTTCCTCACCAATGCTTATAAATTTCTTAGTTTTTCCAGTCAGAATATACTTTTCAGATAGTTTTCTAGTCTAAGGCTTGAATTTGTACTGCTACTTTGATACACAAGGTGGCGCTGATTTTCTTGTCATCCGCATAGACTACAGTTAATAGAGTTACCTAGCTCTCCAAGAGCATTTTTGAGTATTATAACACACTGAAAGTTATTCCTTTATTTTTAGAATATTATTATTCCCAAAGGTTTACTACATTGTAAAACTTTATATTACAAGTTTAAATATATAACTGCTAATGTTATAAATATGTTATCATAATAGCAGTACACTAAAATCACTTGATAACTGTTTTAAACTCTGAATTAACTTCCCACCGCTTATTTTATCATTCAAAAGCTTTTTCCAAAAGTATTAAAGATGTGAAACAACACTTTACTTTGACTGGTTTGTTGGATCCTTCAAACCCAGAGTTCCAATGTCTAAGTTAGGAGCTTTTATTCTGGTTGTATCAGGTAAAACAGAATTAAGGGGAGAAAAACAAAAACATGGTAGTTTTGTTTTAGAGCAGTTTCTGAAAACAGAATTCACATCTGAAATGTGCTATTTTAATGGCCAATCATGGATATGGTTTACTTAACCTATATATGCTGGTTTTCTTACCCTTAATGACAGTATCTGCCTACTTGTTAGGGTTGCTCTGAGGCTTAGATGAATGGAATGTGTATGTTTGTGACCCACAATAGCACACAGTTTCAAGATGCTCACCAGTATAGCTTATTGGCAATTTTTATTAATGCTATTTATTTATAACAAAACTCAAATAACGTCTTAAGATTAACTGAAACACATTCTTGAAAATATTTTCCCCAGGATATACAAAATAACCTATTCAATTTCAAATTGCAATCCCATGTTTCAGATGGTCTCTAAACATTGCATTCTGTAGTTTCTCAGAATATAGTCAATGAAGAAGAATGGAATCCTAGCTTATTTTTCACTTGGAAGGTTGTTTAAATTATATTTTATGTCTTTTGTTAGAATAGTGGTATCATCTTTACACTGGGCTCATCAGAAACATCTGCAATTTGTTAGGAATAAGAATTCTTGGACTTCACCCCAGATTTTCTGAATGTGAAACCCTGGGGAGAGGGCTTAGCAGTTTGTGTTTAAGCAAACCTTGCTTATGATTTTGATGTATGCTAAAGTCTGATCATCACCACTTTAGGAAATAATGAAGAACTTATGTTGTTTTTTACTACTTGCCAAAGACTACTAATTGTACCAACTGAATATCTGAATTTGTCAACATTATCCTGTTAAAACAAACTTTATATGGTCATCTTCATTTTTAAAATTGATAGTTATTAATAATAATTTAACTTTAACTAATTCAGAGGTTTTTTGTGTGTGTATGTATATATATATATGCATTTATGTACATAGACACAAATATATACATACATACATATGTATGTATATTTTTTTCAAAGATTTATTTATTTATGCATACAGAACTGGGGTACAGGCCAGAGATGCAGGGGCGGTGAGAGGATTCACCGGAGACAGAGTGGGGAGCAGAACAGGCAGATGGACGAAGTACACTGCTGAGAGGAACAGCAGGCGGGTCAGGAGAGGTCTGCTGTGCCATGTGGATCACCTCCAGGGTGGGGATCAAACTCATGCTGAAGTGACTTTAGCTTCTTAGTGCTCTTTAACCTGCTATGCCACCAGGGAGGGCCCATATGTATAATTTTTAACACCACCAATATCTAAAGATAGGATTACCAGATTTTGTCTTGGTGTCTATAAAGAAACTTTATTGCCAAAATTTAAAAAAGTTCATCCATCTTTCTGACTTGAAATTTTTGTCTTAAAAGCATTTTTTCCACATACTACATTAAGCGCAACATGTCTAGGAGTACTGTAAAAAACTTCAGTCTGTTCCTCTTTCCAGTTAATAACACCATCCTATCCTCACATAACCAAGTCAAAGTTCATTCACTCAGATGTTCAAATGTCTCAAGCAAAACTACTGTCTTTCTTCCTAGTTGTTACCACTATGTTCCAGGCATCCTTCCTTTCATCCAGATTTTTTGACAGTTGCTAATCTTTTCACCTCCACATTAGAAATGTCTTTCAAAGATTGCAAACTGGTTGTTTTATTTCCCTGCTTAAAATTCTATAGTATTTTTACCATTAGCCTGATGAAAAACTCCGGATTTTTGTAAGATGTGACTTATAAGGTCCTTGATAACTTGTTTTATCTTTGTGCCTCTTTTTTACTTCACATTCCCTACCTTAGCAATACCACTTTTTCAGTTCCTTGTGATATATTCATTCTCACTTTTATTTTTTTTTACAGATTTATTTATTTATACACACAGAACTGGGGTACAGGCCAGAGATGCAGGGGCAGTGAGGGATTCACTGGAAACAAAGTGGAGAGAAGAATAGGCAGATTGATGAAGTACAATGCTGAGGGGAGCAGCAGTTGGTCAAGAGAGGTCTGCCACACCATGGAGGTCACCCCCCATTGGCCGGGGATCTAACTCCTGCTGAAGTGGCTGCAGCTAGCTTCATAGTGCTGAATTTTTAACCCACTGTACCACCAGGAGGGCCCCTCATTCTCACTTTAAATATTTTTGTTTATAATGTTTTGACTTTGAACCTATTTTTTTCTGAATTTTGACTTGTAATTACTTTTTATTTTTTCTTTATAATTAAGGTTAAGTATTACTTCTTTAGAGAAATATGCCTTGGTGTCTTATTGCATTTTGTTTAAGATTTTATTTATTTATACATGTAAGAACTGGGGTATAGGCCAGAGGTGCAGTGGTGAGAGGATTCACCAGAGACAGAAGGGGAGAACAGGCAGGTGGACTAAAATGCACTGTGAGGGGAGCAGCAGGAGACAGGGAAGGTCTGCTGTGCCATGTGGGTCAGCACCCTGACTGGGGATGGAACTCATGTGCAGTGGCTGTGACTAGCTCCATGATTGTGCTTAACCAGGGAGAGCCCTCACTGCATTTTGATTTTCGCTTCATGGACTTGAATATATAGTTCTTTCCCCAAATTTGGTACATTTTCCTCTGTTTGCTTGATGAAGCTTTCTGTTATCTCTCTTTCCTTTCTGTGATACCTATTATTTATGTTGTCTTTCTGAATGTAGTTCTGATAGTTCTTGAAGTATTTATTTCTTCTTTTTTCTTTTTACTTTGTATTTGTCTCTTTTTTTCTACCTGGTTCCTTTGTGCGTTACTGTGGTCACTAATTTGACCCTCCATTTGTTCTCTTCTGCTTCCATGGCTTTCTCTAGAATTATTTTTATCTTATCTATTGAGTTTTTTTTTTTTACATTCATAATCTGTTATTATTAAAAGCCTCAATTTTTATTTCTGTTCATTAATTTTATTACTTAGTTCATTCATTTGCTTTTGTAAATTTTATTATATCTCTGATTAGGTTTTCTTTTATCGTTTTAGTTTATCTTTTTGTTTTTTCCTTTATTGTTTTTATTTTCTTCATTAGCAATTTGGGAGATAAAATATTCCTTCTTTTTATAGTTGGATTCTGGAGAATTATTCTCTTATAATATTATGTTACCTCGAGAAGTCACATTTCCATGTGTTATCTTATTTTTTGTCTTCCCATTTTGCTGGGAAGTTATTTTAACATTTGTTTTGTTTTGTTTAACAGCTGTAGCCATAAATTAAAGAGTTGGGCTACTTTTACTTTTCCAGCAGATGGTGCTGTCATTTTATTTGCTTTTAGTGATTTGCCCTTTGCTGACTTCTGTAGATGCTGAGATCTGATTTTACAGTTGCTGATTCCACATGTAGGGAAGTATTCAACTCTTGAGTGCAGATGTGCTGGGTAGAGGTGTTTTCCTCTGTAAATGTCCTTTCTCCCTGAGGTTCCAGATACGAGAACACTACAATCTGTACACTATTAGTGCACATCAGAAATTGATGTAAGTCCTGAAGTGTGAGGAAGAGAAGAAGTGCAGTTCTCTGTACTGTCTTTGTTCATTTTATGAGGTCTGGGCTTCTGGGGAACATTCCAGCTCCTGTGCAGCTGTTCCACTTAGTCAGTGTCTATGCCTCTAGACCATTCAGCTCTCCCTTCGCAGTACCCCTGCCTGAGCCAAGAGCCTTTCTGTCTATACCACCCTGTCCTCAGACTACAACCTCCTGTACAATGAAATGTGACTTTTTTCTTTCGCAGTTTGTCTGAAATCTGTGGGCTATTGCTGTTTTCCCCAACCCACAGGCCCCTCTGGATATAGTGTCCCTGTGGTGAACTGTTAGATGATTTTCTCAGGAGTGAAGCATGGAACCTCTTTTGTTCCCCTTTTGGTCACCAATCCATTTTATAATTTGTAATTACTTGTCATGCCTGACTGATGGCTCTGGAAGATGACTCAACTGTAATAACAACAACAACAACCAGGGCAGGCAGGACTGAAGAGAGTACACCCAAAGTCATCTGGCTGTGTGATGTAGCACATAGAACTGGCTAGAAGTGAACAGCCCTCAACCTAAACAGAAAATTTTGGCATGTGACCTGTGAGGGACAAAAGCCACTGTTTTCCTCATATCTGCCCACCTGTTCCCCAAAAACCTCATAGGCACTACACTTAGTACATTTTAATTTTAATTATTTGTTAAATCCTTAGGCATTAAACTCTGTGAAATAAGTAACCCTACTATCTTGATTGCTGTTTTGAGCTTTTCAAGAATGGAATGAACATTTAAGGGAACTTATGTTGGTCATTGTGAGTGGTAGTCATATGTAGCTTAAATATATGTAGCTTAAATATGTGTAACTAAAATAGGGAACCAATAGACAGTATTAAGTCCTTTCCAATAAGGAATTTTTCCTCCAAATAGTCAAATACACACCCCTATACACACATATGTACACATATGTACATGTGTCAATATATAAAACTTTAAAAAGACTCAATAAGTTAATTAAAAGAGTTTCACCTAATTTAAAATAATTGAATATTTGAAGATTACTGGCATATAGAGAACCTAAGAAATATTCCTAATTTATTATTTATTTAGTTATAAATTGATATTTTTATAGTTTCAGGTATATAACAGTTTTTCAATATTTTTACACAGTGCATAATGACCACCTCAGGAAGTCTGGGGTTATAATATCCTATACATAGTTTCAAAGAGAGATTTCTAAGTTAAAGCATTATTTCTGGAGTTATTAATTTAATGTTATGTTTGTGTCTCTTATAGGTGAAATGAATCAGAAGTATAAGGAGTTGAAAAAAAGGGAGGAAAATATGGACAGTAAGTAATCATAGATATGAAAATTTATACCAAATCAGAGATCTTATTTAAGGAAGATGTATAACTAACAATAAATGTCTAAGTGTGAACATTCAAAGCATGTGCCTTGAAGAATTACTGAATAGCCATCATAGCTTAGGGATGAGTAGAGAATTAGGAAAATGTTTCATATATGTGTATGCATGTACTAGTGCTTGCATGTGGGGAACCATTTCCAAAGTTAGTATTTATGTTCATAGTCTGGATGAATGCCTGTACAACAGTTATTGATTGAATGTTCTCATTTACATGCTTTACTATGTTCATCTTAAATATCTTCTCCCTCCTGTTAGCTTTTCATAGTACTTATTACTTAGTAGTTCTTATATTCTATCTTGTTACTTGGTTCTATCAGTAACTGTACTTTAGTAGCTTCTTAAGGCTGCAGCTTTTCATTTACTTTTTTAAAAATCTTAACTTGATTTTATAGACAGATCTTTTACTCCATATGCTTGTACATTTAGAAATCTTTCAAAATTAATGAATATTATCTACTACTGGTGTCCTTCTTAAATGTCATTTCATTAGAATCTGAAGTTTTATAGGTTGCTGTTAATTGTTTATCTCCCACGAGACAACTACTAAAAGTTATCAGTTAATTGTTCCATGCTAATGGTATATTTAACGGTAAGTTTTTACTTTTGGAAAATCTGCAGAGATACTTTTAAGAATGTAAATGAGAGCAGTTTATGTGCTGAGTTCTATATTGAACAAGAAAAAGAAAGACTTTTTAGAATATTTATTGATAATATGATAATAAGAATAAACAACTAAATGAATTTAGTTGAGCTTAATGAAGTGTTATAAGAAACATGTTGACTTTTAGATAAAATAGCTGATTAGTAAGATTTACAGAAGATTGGCTAATTAATATTTATGGATCTATCAAGTAGGTGTTGTTTGAAATAGGTTCTTTTTTTTAATTTCCATTTTATCAACTGTTATTCTGAGCCCATACTTAACAAAATTTTAGTTTACTTATGTTAATGTCATTACAGTCTTCAAATTTTTGAAAGAAGTGTACTTATTGAATAACTACCCTTATGTTAATTTAAAAAAAAGCAATGGTAGTTTAAATTTCACTTTAATTTTCTAAAAAGTGTGCTTACACCCTAAAAATCAGAGTTTGTGCAGTACTAATTGTATCAACAATAGTCTCTCATCATATTTTTCAATCTGCAGCTTTTATCGAGACTTTTGAGGAAACTAAGAATCAGGAACTGGAAAGGAAAGCACAGATAGAAGCCAGCATTGTCTCGCTTTTGGAGCATTGCAGTCGGGTAAGAGCCCCGTGTCTGTGGGTGAGGGGAGGATTCTTATTATTTGTACTGACCTTTATAAATACAACTTAGAAAACATAATGGTTCACTCATTTAAATTTTTTCCTTTAAATTCCTCATTTTGTTTAAGCTATTTAGTTTTATCTCAGCAAAATTCAGCTAATTGGGACAAGAAGGAAAAGGATGAGAAATTGAATAACAATATTCAGCACTACATGAGGAATTTCTTCAGTTTTTATTAAGATTTTATTTCATTATTAATTTATACTTATAAAAGTAACATCTGTACCAATAACTTCAAAATACAGATATTATATTAGAAAATATACTTTCATATTTTCATACTGTAACATAACATAATTTCATACTGTAATTTGTACATGAAAGGGGATTCTTTTAAGAATCAATAAGAGTGTAGGATATATATTGAGTGTCTTGAGTCACCCAATGTTTTTTGAGCTACTAATGTTGGTGTACCATATGTTAAAAAAACACATTATTCCCTTTCAATATTCAAAGAGTTTAAGATTCCAATCATTACTGAAAATAATGTAGTTGATTTTTTTTTTCTGTGGTGAAATAAAAGCAAATGAAAAAGGAAAAAGTTCTGAATTTTAACTTAACATCTCTTTATTGAGAAAAACCTAACTTTGAATCTCATTGTTCCCAACAATGAATGATATACTTCAAAAAAAAAGAATACCTGTTCAAAACAACCCATCCTTTAACAGTATATTCCAAGAGTTTAGTGGACAGTCAAATTGATGGAGTTGTTTTTTTTTTCCATTTTTATTTTATACAAATACAGAATTTAAATCGTATGAAGCAGATATCCTCTATCACCAATCAGGAGCTGAAAATGATGCAGGATGACCTCAACTTTAAATCTAATGAGATGCAGAAGTCACAAAGTACAGCTAGGAATTTGACATCTGGTGAGAAAACAACTGAGATTTTAATATCTTTTTTTTTTCCATTCTAAGTTATTTCTATTACTTACTACTACTTACTTCTATTACTTATTCTATTACTTCTAAGTTTTTTGTATTCCAAGTTATTTTTAAGATTGATTAAAGTAATTCTTTTTGGTGTTTTAAAAGACTGGGGATATAATTTATGGTCACCTATTGCACTAGTCATTGGTAGCTTCAGAAATTTTGTGTGACCTTTGCTTCAACTTAATAATGTTTCTTTTGGGTAATCTTGTTAAATGCTTGTTCCATGCCTGTGCTCTAGCTTGGGTAAACAGACACGTAAAAAATATCTCCAGTTTGTTTTCTTAAGGAACTTTCAATTCTACCACTCCCCTCAGCAGTGTATTTCAGTCAGTCTGCCTGTTCTCTCCACTCTGTCTCTGGTGAATCCTCTCATTGCCACTCCCCACCCCATCCACCTCTGAACTGTACCCCAGGTCTTGTATGCATAGATAAATAAATATTAAATTTAAAAAAAAAAAACAAATATACAAAATCAGACTTAAGGAGCCTAGGATAAAATCATGTAAAATTTTCTATAGAACCTTTGTTTTTTTTGTGCTGATGGATTCTAATTATGGGTGTTCTTTTTTTTTTTTTTAAGATTTATTTATTTGTGCATACAGAACTGGGGTACAGGACAGAGGCTCAGGGGCGGTGAGAGGCTTCACCAGAGACAGAGTGGGGAACAGAACAGGCAGATCGACGAAGTACACTGCTGAGGGGAGCAGCGGGCGGGTCAGGAGAGGTCTGCCGCGCCATGTGGATCACTTCTGTGACAGGCCGGGGTTGAACTCTTGCTGAAGTGGCTTTAGCTTCTTGATGCTGCCTTTACCCGCGCACCACCAGGGAGGGCTCGTCCATCTTACTTTTAAGAATGTAGTATGGTAATGTTAATCAATTACATATTGTTGTGCAACATATTTAATGTTCTGTCTTGCAGAACTAAAATGTATATTCCATTGAACAACACCCAATGTCCACCTCATTAAGACATTGGTAACTGCATTACTTTGTTTTTGTGAGTTTGAGTACTTCAGATATGTCATACAAATAGAATTAAATAGTATTCATCTTCTTGTGAATGTTTTATTTCACTTACATTGTTTTCAAGTTTTATCTGTGTCATAAAAGGCTTCCTTTAATACTGGACAATATTCCATTATTTGCCCATGTGATAATTTATTTGTTGGTGTACATTCAGGTTGTTTTCCCCTTTCAGTTACTGTAAATAATGCTGCAGTAAATACAAGTGCACAAGTATCTTTTTTTTTAAGACCGTATTTTCAACTCTTTTGGATATATAAGACTAAGGACGTTTACATCTTTTTTAAAAACATATATAAGCTAAAGAACTTTGTTTAATTAGTCCATCTAGGAAATCTCTGTTTTGTATTCAATTTTTTTTTTTTAAAGATTTATTTATTGGTGCATACAGAGCTGGGGTATAGGCCAGAGGCCCAGGGGCAGCGAGAGGCTTCACCAGAGACAGAGTGGGGAGCAGAACAGGCATATCTATGAAGTACACTGCTGAGGGTAGCAGCGGGCGGGTCAGGAGAGGTCTGCCACGCCATGTGGTCACCTCTGGGGCAGGCGGGAATCGAACTCATGCAGAAGTGGCTTTAGCTTCTCAGTGCTGCGCTTTAACCCGCTGAGCCATCAGGGAGGGCCTGTTTTGTATTCAAATTTTTAACTTATCTAAGATCAGTATTAATTCAACAAGTTTTGCCTCCTTTAGGTTATCTTGGCATAACTGCCAACATATTTTTTAAAGTCAAGTGAACTCAATAATCAGGACTTTATATTCCTTTCAGACTTTTCTTCTTTGGGTTTACTTTTCTTTTAAAAATGATGTTTTCTGCAGTTGTAGAGTTGATAAAGAATGAGAACTTGCTTCAGTGGAGCTGAAAATTCAGTTTATTACTATGATCAATATCTTATTGAAAAAATTTCCTTATTAAGTTTTAAATTTTCTGATTCTTACAATTAATTTCATTTACTCAGTTATTTCTAAAGATTAATTTAAACCAAGCATATAATTTATTTTTCCTCCTTCCTAACAACATCTGCCACAACAAATTTTTTGTGTCTAGAAATCATAATAAGTTTATAATATTCTTTTTTTAAACACTCAGAGATAATGAATTTTACATTCACCTTTTGTGAGCTGCCTCTCTTTACTATCTGTGGGGCGATGAAACTTATCTGATTTTCTTAGTGTACTCTATTTCTTAAGAGGGGAGGGTAAAAATTCTTAGATATTATGATTCATTGTCCTCCAAAGGGTCAATGTACATAGATACACAGATACACATTATAACTATAATATAAAAACTTCATAGGAGTGAGGCAATTGGAGAAAAATTGTCTACAAAGTCTCCTAAGGAAGAAATAAGAAAATAAAAGAGGTTTCAGAAACTGGTATACTACTTAGTAAAACAGCAAGGAACCTGTCAGCAATAGTTTTTATTTATATTTTTGGAAAGGAAACTCCAGGGGATAAACAAATGCGCTGATGGCAGAATATTTCAGAAGCATTTCCCTAGGTCAAAGTGGTTCCTTCTGAGATTTTGCTACTATGTACACACTGCTTGGTAAACTTTGCAACTTCACAGCATATCAGAAGGAACTAGTCTGCATCCTCTTCCTGTCTCTTCCCTTGGAGAAACTTTTAGCTTTTCATATGGACCTGCTGTTAAAGAAAGATAAACTTTACCCTATACCAACCAACAATTTTCTTCTACTCTCTAGAAGCATTTGTATAGCTCTTAATATATTTCCCTAATGAATCTTCTGGCTAAAGTTATAGTTACACTTATATAACTGTTTTCACTAAACAGTCAAGATCTACATTTCCCACGTAGACAATTGCAATACTGAAATCTCAGTGACTTGTTTTGCCTTTGATTCTTAACTGTTTTCAATTCTACTGGAGATATGAATCTAGCAAAATAAAATCCTCTCAACATTTAAGTATGTTTTTGAATAATAAGCTAATAAGTGAGTCTTAAGACTTTTAAAGGGATGAAAGAAATTATTCAAGGAATACTAGCTTATATACCAACTTTTAAATTTTTTGACTGCTAAATGCTTTTAAATCAATTTTGAAGCACTGTTTTGTCACCATCTTGGTGTAACCTTTCCGTAATCCTTCCAGTTTTATAGGTAGAAGAAGAAAGATTAATAGCATCATTGTATTTAATTTTCTATTAGAGAATTTGTACAGATTATAAAACTTAAGTCCAAGTGAAATTCTTCCAAGAAGAAACCAAGTTATTTACTCATTGCATGTGTGTATATATTAGGAAGACGTCCTGGTGTGAGAGAGACAAAGTGCTAAATTGTACTCACATTCTAAGGACTACTGAACTATATGTAAATTAGGTAGAGCTTAGGGAACACAGGTAAAACAGCAGTTAGAAGTTCAAAGAATACTGCATAAAGACTTCAGATGTTGCCACTCTAAGGGAGAAAAGTTTATAGTTTCAGTTCAGCAAAGTTTATAGCTCATTTATAATATATATCACCATTCTCCAAAGGCACACAGTAAAATCTAAAATCTCTACAAAATGTTAAAAACATTCATTATACTGTAAAAATTTATAAGACATGAATAGGAATATGTGTTTCAAGAGGAAAAGCATTCACCAGAGCCAACTTGAGGATATCCAGATGTTGAAATGAAATGGATTTAAACATTTATAAACATTTCAAGGCTTAAAAGGAAATAGTCATACATGAACAGATGTGAAATCCCATAGAGAAATGGATATTACAAAAAAGAATCAAATGAAATTTTTAGTGTTGAAAAGTATCACTAAAATGAAAAATTCAAGTTTCCCTGGTGGCTTAAGGGTTAAGTCTGAGCACTGTCACCTCTGTGGCCTGAGTTCAATCCCCTGCCAAGGAGTGAACCCAGCATGGTACAGCAGACCCCGCCTGTCTTGCTCTTTGCTCCCCTTAGCATTATATTTTCAGTAAATCTGTCTGTAGTGCTCTCCTCTCTGTCTGATAAATCCTCTCACCTCTCTCCTTCCAATATCCTGCACCTCAGCCTATACCTCAGTTCTTGTACAAATAAATACATCTTTAAAATGAAAAAAAAAAAGAAAAGTTCACTGAATGAATTTTAGTAGCATATTGAAACTGTAAAGAAAAAAAGGGGGGGGCAGTGAACTTACAGATTGCGCAATAGAAATTATCCAATCTGAAGAAGAAGGAAAAATGCACAGAAACAGATGAGTGGATCAGGAAGATATGATACATACACACTATAGCCTACTACTGAACTATTAAAAAAGATCAACTCTTGGCATTTCTGAGTGACAACATGAATAGAGCCGGAGGGGATTATGTTAAGCAAAATAAATCAGAAGAAGAAAGAAGTACTGGATGGTGTCACTTATGTGTGTAACATACAAAAAAATAAAAAGGACACCAGATAAAGCCAAATGAATAAACCCTATAAATATGACTATAGGACCGAGGCTACGGGAGGAGGAGGGGTGAGAGCAGAGTGTGGAGGTTGCACAGTGGACAATGGCAGTAGACATTAGGTGCTTCAGTGGTGGGTGTGACACAGTAACAACACCAAAGGGAGAGATACCCATCTGTCAAGCACAAACAATGTTCTGAACCAGTGTTACATCCATTTTTTTTTTTTTAAGATTTTATTTATTTGTGCATACAGAACTGGGATACAGGCCAGAGATGTGGAGGGTGAGAGAATTCACCAGAGACAGAGTGGAGTGCAGAGCAGGCAGATCAACGAAATACACTGCTGAGGGGAGCAGCGGGCGGGTCAGGAGAGGTCTGCCACGCCATGTGGTCACCTCCGGGGCAGGCGGGAATCGAACTCATGAGGAAGCGGCTTTAGATTCTCAGTGCTGTGCTTTAACCCACTGCGCCACCAGGGAGGGCCGTTACATCCATTTTTAAAAACAATGTAAAAATAAGATGACTTATTTTTATGATCAGGTCATAGAAAAATATACAATAAATTAAAAAAAAAAAAAAGCCTGAATCACCCAATAGACAATTTCATGCAGTTTCATGTTAGAAAGAGAGAGGAACAAAGGATGAGGGGAGTGGGAATGACAGTTTAAGAAATGACGACGAGGAGCCTTCTCTGGTAGCACAACAGGTTGGAGCACAGCGCTACAAAGCTAGCAGCAGCTGCTTCAGCACAAGTGCAGTCCCCAGCCAGGGAGGGGCCCATATGGCACATACAACTTATCCCTTGCCTGCTGCTCTCTTTAGCAGTGTACTTAGTCAGTCTGCCTGCAGTGTTCCCCATTCTGCTTATGGTGAATCCTCTCATCACGCCTACACCTCTGGCCTGTACCCCAGTTCTGTATGCATAAATAAATAAATCTTTGAAAATAAAAAGAATGATGAGAAATTCCACATTTTGATTTTGATGAAAACCTTAATTTTACACATCCATAAGGCCCACTGAACCCCAACAGTGTTAATATAAAAATCCCACACTTAAGCTCATCATAGTCAAAATGCTGAAATGCAATAATGGAGAGAAAATAATGAAAGGAGCCTGAGTAAAATAATATATATATTGGGAACACACCCTGCTACTTTTTATCAGAAAAGTTAACTTGAATTTTGAATTTCACAACAAAATGTTATTTTAATATATAAAAACTTTTTACAACTAAATCTCTTAAGTTATAAAAGGAAGATGTCCATGTTTGGCTTTTGAATTCAGGAATGCTTGTTTCCCTGGCTTAAAATAGAGGGACAGTGAAGGCAACAATGTTGTATTATGGAAATCTTTTCTTCTCTATGTCTGTTATCTACATGTAAGTCACTATAGTGTATAAGATGATTACCATGGCTAACCCTTGAAACACAGAAGAAAATTGCCAATGCAGTTTAAGTTCAGATTGCTTCATCTGGATATTTAGGTTGTGTATTTCATTTCCCTTTAAGTATCTGTTTAAGTTATCTCTAACTGGGTTTTACTTATAAAATGAATTTTACTAGAAGGAAAGCAAACCCATGAATGATTCTTGGGGAAATGAACCTGAAGTAGAAAAATTGGGAAATTGGTGTTGTTTTGTTCCCCCTTAACACACTGTTGCTTATGGAGGCATTATTTTGGACATAAAGTAACATTTGCTATCTTAAAAATGAGCCTTTCATGATGATGATGATAATACCATTTAGCACCAACGTTCGGACTTACATTGAAAGCATGCAAACCTGGCAAAAATCACAGTTTGACTCAACCACAGAGTACCAACAGTGGGTATTTACAAGAAGGAAATGGGGAGATATTAAAGAAAGTAAAGAGTTTCTAAGGTCACGAATGGCCATCCACCCTGCTCCAGAAAGTGTCCAGCATCAGGTAGCCCAAACCAAAAACTGCTTATGAAAGATGGTATTGTCACTCTGCTGAGAAAACCTGGAGCTGCTGGCATACCAAGAAGCTGTGGACCAGGACCCAACTCATGGTGGCAGCTGGAAGTAGTCACAGCAGCCAGCAGCAGCCATCCTGGAGGCTAGGCCAGGCCAGGCAGCACCAGAGGCAACAGCAGCAGAGCTCTCTGGGTGGCAGCAACACAGGCCAGCACCATGGGTCAGGCAACTGCAGACAGCTCTTAAAGGTGGAACAAGCCTGTGGCAAGGATCAGGGGCTGGTGGCCGTCAGGAGGTGGTGCCAGAGGATCAGACAGAGGCAGGCAGCTCTTAAAGGCTATGCCAGTGGTGCCTGAGACAGGAGTGGCCATCAGGAGGTGGTACCAGCCACACTAGAGGCAGGCGCAACGACAGTGGACAATTTGAAGCAAAGAGTTGGCCACCAGAAGTCAAGGTTGTTCAAGGACAGAGTGTTAAATGAGTTGGAGATCTGAATATAGGAACATATGGTCTGAGGGGAGAGTCCCCAAATCTGTTTGCCACCTGGGCTGTAACGGGCTTTCAGGGTTCCTTCTTTCTTCTTCTTACTACTGACAGGTATGGGTTTCAAACCTGATTGGTTTCATCAAAGCTGGCTGGGATTTTAAAATCCAAGCCCCAGTGCTCTGTGAAATCCTACCTGTGCTGGAATCAGCCACCTCACATCTTGTGTGGCAGGAGGCACAGCAGGTGCAGGGGAGCCAGGTACACTCTGCTATCCTTGGATGCTAAAGGGGGCTGCAGCTCTGCACCTCCAAACCAGGAGCCTTGGAAATTGTCTCACATTCTAACCTGGGGGAAATTTCCTTTCTAATCTTCAGTTTCCTCACACAACATTTACCTGCCAGGACACTTATGAAAAGTATATCAAACAACATAAATTATACATACTCAGTAAGATAGGTTCCCTATTTTATCTTTCTCTCCTTTAAAAAAAAGACATTTTAAAATCAGAATCACAAAATTTGTAAAAAAAAAAAAAAAGGGGGGGAGGGGAAGGTAGGTAGTATTTTGTGTGTGTATGTGTGAAAGGAATTTCTTACAAACTTTTTTTTTAAGATTTATGTATTTATGCATACAAGAACTAGGGTACAGGTCAGAGGTGCAGGGGCTAAGAAGATTCACCAGAGACAGAGTGGGGAGCAGAACAGGAGATTGACTGAAATACACTGCTGAGGGGAGCAGCAGGCGGGTCAGGAGAGGTCTGCTGCACCATGTGGGTCAGCTCCCTACCAGGCATGGAACTCGTGCCGTAGTAGCTGCAGATAGGCACTGCGCTTTAATGTGTTATGCCACCAGAAAGGCCCAAAGTAGTTTTCTAATTATAAATGTAATTCAAATGTTTATAAAGGATTTGGGAGATATAAAAAAAGTATAAATAAGAAAAGGTAGAATATTTATAACCCCAGACTTAAGGGGTTATATTTATAACTAAAGAGTGTATTACTGTCAAAATTTTGGTATTTATCATTCTAGTCTTTTTCTGTATTCTAGCCCACTTGTACTGTTTTCTCTGCCAGCTATCACTATTCCCTTTCAAAGCTTTCATAGCCAAATTCTTAAAACTATGCTTTCACTCCCTGTCTGTTAAATCTGCATTCATAGCAACAATTGTACTCTTAGCAGCTACATTCAGATCTTTCTGGTCAGTAAACCCAACACGTATTATGGATTTCCTGAAATTTACTTATGCCATTTAAAATTCACTGATAGGGAAGGGAAGAACTCAGGGGATTGTGGTGATGGTACGTGAGTGTATTGGTGATGCGAATTCCACAGGGACTATAACTGAGATGAAAAAGCATGCATTGTACAAAAATGAAGAATGATATGAAAATATATAAAATTTTTACAGAAGAATAAAACATAAAGAAAAAGAAATAAAAACAAAATTCACTGATAACTTGCTGTAGCCCTTAGAATAAAATACCAACTCCCTATCTTGACTTAAAAGAGTTTTCCTGAATTGAAATCCTTCTAACTTTCTATCTCTAACTACCACTCCTTTTGAACTTTGGGCTGCAGTATAGTGAACATCTATTATTTGATTAAAGATATGCTTTCTCACCTTTAGACTTTACACATATTGTTTTCCCTAAAACACTTTTACTTTCTCCTTTATTTGGCTAATTCCTAATCTTTACAACCTCAGAATACATATTTTTATACAGATTTTTCTTGACTAATATGACATCTTCTATGATATCCTGCATTATTATTTTCATAGCAGTTACGTAATTTATTATAAATTCTTGCCTTGGTGCCTTTTTCTTTTTTCTGAATTTTTGTGTTTTATGTTGATGATTTTGGTATTTTCTATGGTCCCCAAACATAGTGCTGAAGTCCTAAACTCAGGAAGGCTGTAATGTGCCTTATGGAGTAAAAATTTGTTAGCTAAGCTTCAATCAGACGTAACTTACATTACTGTTGGCCATTCATTCAGTGTTAAGTAGTCATCAATAAATATTAAATAAGGTATCTTTAAACAAAAACACATAAAGCATAATTATGTATTAGTAGATGAAAATGTTCTTACCAGAGGTCCACAGGACACCCCCCCTCCAACCCTGATTTTCCTCTAGGAGCAATAGTTCAATATTTGCTAACTTAGTGTTCACATTAACTTTATAAAACATAACTACCAAAAATTATGAAAACTGACTGTATAAATAAATTATGTTCAAAAATAAATATGTAATACATGTCATTAACTTACTTTCCCCCATATACCTATCATATATCAATACAAATAACAGATGTTTGTCTCTCATTAGATGTTATGTAATTAAGAAAAAAATTATGTGTTTCCTAAATATTGTATGAGCAACATTAGACAAGTATGGATAATATACATCAGTTATGTTGATGCCCTGGGGGATGAGGATTTTTTTAAATATATCTTTGCAGTCTTTCACTAGTTCCACAGAACATATATTTCTTTTGCAAATACTCTTATAAGACATGAGTTGTTTTTTTTTTTAAGATTTATTTATTTATGCATACAGAACTGGGGTACAGGCCAGAAGTGTAGGGGTGGTGAAAGGATTCACCAGAGACAGAGTGGGAAGCAGAACAGGCTGACTGACGAAGTACACGGCGGGTCAGGAGAGGTCTGCTGCACCATGTGGGTCACCTCCAGGGCTGGGAATGGAACTCATGTGGAAGTGGCTTTAGCTTCTTTAGTGCTGTGCTTTAACCCACTGCGCCACCAGGGAGGGCACTAAGACATAAGTTTTGACGAATATATTGCATTTCCCTATGTAAAAGGAATAAAGTTTTCACTAATTTCCTGTGTTTAACTGTTCCTGTGTTCAGATAGTCAACGTCTGCAATTGGATCTACAGAAAATGGAGCTTCTGGAAAGTAAAATGACTGAGGAACAACAGTCTTTAAAAAACAAAATTAAGCAAATGACAGCTGATCTGGAGACATACAGTGATTTGCCAGGTTTAAAATCATCTGGTGAAGAAAAGAAAAAAGTAAGTACTAACAATATCATAAAAAATTGCAATTCAAAGTAGCTTTTTTGTGATCAAATTCAATATATGCTTATGGAATTTATTATTTTTATTTGGTTATTTGATATATAAGCTAAAAAATTTTAAAATGCCTACATTTTAGTAACATTCCTACAAACTAGTTGGAATTTTGACTTGAGTTTTAAAAGGCAAAAATTGAAAAACAAGGAATAGAGCATTGCAACAAATGGGACATTTGCTAAATACTGGTCTGATTATTACCTACTTATGACTGGTGAGTGGCTTTCCATTGTCATTAATTTAAAGGAAATTTGGTAGGATAAGGAAATTTGGTAACAGTAAGGCAGCATTACTTTTAATACAGCTAAAACTAACTTAGTTTATTATAGTCTAAACGATTGCTTCACAGATTTTATCGTATTTATAATATTGGTGGAATTTGATCAAAATATCTCTGAAAATATTTAAATCGATTATAATTTATTTGGTTTGCCAGATATTTGCTATGCCCTGTTATTTACTTCTTTTTGGCTCTATCTAGAAACTACATCAGGAGAGAGCAATATTATCAACCCACAGAAATGCCTATAAGAAAATAATGGAGAAGCTAAACATAGAATATGAGACACTAAAAACACAATTGCAAGAAAATGAGACACATTCTCAGGTAAAAAAAAAAAAAAGACTGATATTCATTTCTAATTTCAGACTTTCTATTCTAAAAACAATCCTTTTTTTTTTTTTTAATATTCTATTTACCTTCTAGAAGCTAGCTGTGAAAAGAGCCAATTCAGTCTTCAAGAATGAATTTTACTCCTGCTTGTTACCTCAAGCCTGTGGTCTATACTGTACTGGGCACTGTCTGGGCACAGCTAATATGATAATAACCTTAGAAATTTTCCAAAGTAGGGCCCTCCCTGGTAGTGCAGCGGGTTAAAGCACAGCACTAAGAAGCTAAAGCCACCTCATCATCAGTTCGATCCCTGCCTGCCCCGGAAGTGATCCACAACGCGTGGCAGACCTCTCCTGACCAACCTGCTGATCCCCTCAGCAATGTACTTCGATGATCTGCCTGTTTTGCTACCCACTGGCCTATACCCCAGTTCTGCATGCATAAATAAATAAATCTTTAAAAAAAATTCCCAAAGTAAAATACTTTTCATACAGAATTTGCTAAGCCATAAAGAAAGAAAAGAAACCCTAATAACCAATATACCACTCAGGAGAAATTATTCTTATCATTTTGGGGAGGATTCTTCCAGCTCATATGCTTACTTTTTTTATATATCTGTATACACTATACAAATAGGTATACATTTATTTGTATATATTTATAGAAATATTGTGTTAGAAGCTTATTTTGCATTATTAACTATAAATCACACTTTACCTTATCAAAAATATTGATACATGTTAATATTTAATAAAATATCAATAAATATCAATTCAAATAATAGTTGACTCCATGGATATAGTATGATTTACTGAACTCTTTCCCTATGGGTAGACAATTAAGGTATTTCTAGTTTTAAAATTGTTCAAGTAATGCTACAAAGAGCAGTTCTACTTTGAATTTTTTAATTCATAGCTCAGGTTATTTACACAGGATGCAAAGCCAAGCATCTCACTGACCTTCCTGATAATATCGGCAGTCTTCTAGATTGAGAGTTCTGTCCGAAAGGGTACAGATGATGACTGTCTCTTGTTCACTTTTTCCCTAGCACGGTGCTAGTGGTTGTCAATAGGTGTTCAATAAATCTTTGTTGGAGGATTAAGTGAAGCAGCATATGTGTCATGTACAAAAGAAAGATGTACAAGATAAAGATTGGTTATCTTTTTCTAAAAAGGGGTGAAGTCTTATCAGTTTGTCACAACTACTAAATGCTTAGAAATCACTAATTTACATAATTCAAAATTATCAGTCATTTATTCTGTCACTACTTCATAACATACAAACCTAAATATAGACTTACAGTGGCAAAATTATCCTTAGATATTTAAAGATGAAATAGGTGCTAGAAAAGAAACCTAAGAAAAAGTTTATAAAGATATTGTCTTATATTATTCTTAGAAAAATATTGGTTTTGTTTTTTTTTAATGAAATATTGACTCTCCTATTGAACAGAAAACATTTACCATTTTCTTGGAGTCAGCCGGTGATTTTTCTTAATTTATTCCCATATGACGTGCTAATCATATTCTCAGCCACATGCACTAACATATGCTGAATTTATTACATAAGCCATAATATACTATTTTTCTCTTTAATTTGTTGCCTATTGTTTTTCCCAAATAATAAATCAAATCTTGATTTTTCTGTTTTTCATCCTTTTTCTTGAAAACTGGTTTTTGATATCTGTAAGTCATTTTCCATAACAAATTTTTTAAATGAATAATTGTTCTTTATCTGAAATCATTTAAACCTATTGACATTGGAACAAACTATAAAATTCCTAGAAGAAAATATAGGGATAAAGGCCCTTGACTTTGGTCTTGGCAGCAGTTTTTGGATATGGCACAAAAAGCATAATCAACAAAGGCAAAAGCAGATAAGTGGACCTAGGCCAAACTAAAAGATTTCTGAAGAGCAGAAGAAACAAATCAATATGTGGAAAGACAACCTACAGAATGGAATATCTGTAAATCATATATATGGTAAGGGGTTAATATCCAAAATCTATAAAGAATTCACTTTTTAAGTAATTTGTAGGAAAAAAATTTCAAAAATGAAATTATGCTTCATGATATCCTTAGCAAGGCACTAAAATAGACATATGTTAGAGAAGGAATTTGACCATCTGATCTGGTGTCGCCTTTATAGCATTATTCATGTAGTACTTGAGAGGTCTGCTGCATTATAAGAAGGCTGCTTCTTTGTATGAAACAAAGGGGGAAAAGTTGGGTACTTGACTTTGTAAAAGGTTATTAGAGATTTATTGTCAAAAAATGCTGACTGCTTCCTTAAGTTCTTCATAACTTCAAGGTCCTATCTGGGAGAGCAAGATCTGACTTAGTAGTGTTAACTCATAGCACATACAGTTCACATAATTAATTCATTCTGATTCATCTTAATATCTAGATTTATCTCTTTGAAGGAAACAATGGGATGGGTACAGCATTAAGACTGAACTGATGCCCTGAAAAGAAGTTTAACATGAAAGTAAAAAGAAGTATTAATGCTGATTCTGTTGTCAGATTTTAAAAACAATTGTGTTTTTTTTTTTTTTTCAGAAATGTAAAACAAAACATTAACGTTTCATTCATCAGACAGTCCTATGTTTAGGAAAAATTCTACGTGCATCTTAAAAAAGAAAGACCGTAACCCAGAGTTACAAGGTTAATTAAATCAGAAAAACAATTTAATTCTATAACAGTAAAATTGTCTTCTGAGGAAGCAACCATCAATATAATATCCACATTAGCTTCCTGTTGATGCAGAAATTATTGTAACAATGCCAGCTTTTTACCAGCCTGCTTATAATCTTCACACTGCAGCACTGTTCTTATCACAGCTTGTGGAATTAGACAGGAAATTTAGCCCTGGAAATAAGGAAGTTTCTCCTCTATAGCTGAACCTTTGACAGTGTTAGTCTATATATTATATTTGTGGTGTTAGACTTACAGATTTCAAGGAGAGATTCCCATCATGTTCTAAATTCTTTTAGGAAAGGGGAAAATTATAAATATCCCTTCAGTTGGCATGTTCATTGGCATAACACTAAATATTTTCCAGTTTAAGTAGACACATAGAGTAAAACCTATTGTTAAAGTCAGCATTGTATGTCTTAATGTATTTACTATTGTTTAATCTTTCCTAATTTTTTTGTCTGCTAGGGCTTTGTATCAATAAATTGCAAGGAGTTGATAAGATTTAAAATTAGTGGTTTTTTTCCCTTATTCTCTTTTAAAAAAGTGCATAATTGTTTTTAATATGGGCACTGGTTAACATTTTTCTTTTGTGTTTTTAGCTTACAAATTTGGAGAGAAAGTGGCAACACCATGAGCAAAATAATTTTGTGATGAAAGAATGTATCCTTTAAAAAGCTGCAAATGAACCTGAGTGATTTTTTTTTCCAAAATTCAATGATTAATTAAAATAAAATTTAATTTAAAGCACACTTACCTAGGACCTAATATGTACAAAACACTGAGCCAAACTGTGTGGGGAATATATGAGATCTGTGTTTTTATGTGTATGTGTGTGTGCACCCAAACAACTAATAGAAAGCAGACTGTATGAAATTGTAGTGTGACATAGTGAGTGTACAGTTTTTGCAGTTGGGAGATCTTTCTAATTTTAAATATTGACTCTATTACATATAGGTTGTGGACTTTGGACCATATCTGTAATTTATTTATGCCTCAATTTATCATCTCAAAAACAGTCAGTGTTTTCTTCTAATAGAGTTGTTGGTAGAATGATATGTAACCATATGTATACATATATATGTGTGTATGTGTGTGTGTGTGGGTATATATGTGTGTGTGTATATATATATATATAGAGAGAGAGAGAGATATGTATGTATGTATGTATACTATAGTTTTTTACAGTGCAATGCCTTGGATATCTGGATGGCTGGTGCAGATAAACTAAGGTCATAAGAAACTTGACCTTCAAGTTCGTCTGTGATACAGCCAATTCAGTTTCGTCTGATTTCACGAAGATGGTATTTATATTCCTTTGTGTGTGTGTGTGTGTGTGTTGTGAGATATCACAGAAGAAAGCAGATGCTGAGAACAGGTATCATGGAGTTACAAGGCATATTTTACTAAAAGTTGTTTCATAATCCTCTTTGACCTATCCTAGGACATCTTTATTTGGAGAACTAGAACTGGGGCCGTTGGTAGCATAGCTTCTCTAGGATGCTGCTGAACTTAAGCAGCTCAGTGAATTGTGGCTCCCCATTATACCCCCAGATGAGATAAGGACTCTATTCCCAGTATTCATCAACTTCGTTAAAATGTGGAAGACACTTCACAATGTACTAAAGTCCAGCACTGTAGTTTCATGCAACATAAAACAGCTGATTTTGAAATAGAGTTAAAAAGTCTTGGCTGAAATTCTGCATGATACTCTAGAGAACATGGTTTTGGTTGTTCTAAGATGACAATAATAGATGCACAAAATACTAGCTTAAAAAAAGGCCTTTTCTGGCCCTCCCTGGTGGCGCAGCGGGTTAAAGCACTGCACTAAGAAGCTTAAGCCAACTCCGCATGAGTTCAATACCTGCCTGCCCCGGAGGAGATCCACATGGCGAGGCAGACCTCTCCTGACCCGGCCGCTGCTCCCCACAGCAG